TAATGTTTTGTATATGTCAGAAATACATAAGAGGTTATTGTTAATTATAATATAGTGTGAAAGTGGAATAATTATAGTGGGCAGAATCACGATAAACAAGATAATTTCGATTGGACGATTTTACCGGAATCACCACTTTCGTACAAGTACAAGCCGAACTTTTGTAGCGACTGCAAAACAATTCAGTAGTGGCGCGCTCGTACATCTACAAGTGCTGTTTACAAGTTCTGTACGACGTCGTCACGGCCATGCTGACATGCGCACGTCCTCGTGCACGATGTAGCACAGGTTTCGCTCTAAGACGGAAACACAATTAATTTCGTGTTGCCGTACATACTCAGTTCTAAATATGTTCATCATGCCTGGACCGGCTGGCATAACTTTCAGACATGCCATATTTTGTAGCTCGAAGTCCTTCAGAATACCTTCAGCTATGGTAACTGGACTGGGTTTTTGAAGTGAAAAGAACTTAGGCACGTGGGGCACTTTTGGGACAAAATTGATGAAAGTAATGTTGAAAATTCATATTGATTAAATTTTATAGAATTGATATGTATTTATAAATTTGTTAGCATTATATAGATTATAACCATTCTATTTCATGTAAAACAGCGCAATAAATGAACATTTTATTACTATATTAATATGTTGATAATAATACTTCTCATAAAAAAACTTCCTAAAAATATTTCTTAACAACCCAAAAATAACGTTTAGAAGTTTGTGAAGCTAAGAAGTTTTCACTTCTGACGTCCTACAAATTACAGTTTTGTTTTTAGTTTTATTTTATTTATCATTACTATATTTAGCTAGTCCCACACTGTTCCTAGAGCTTAGGTTACCGTCATTGGTCCGACAAAGTGCTCTCCAATTACTATTTTAATGACTCTTTTTAAGTACAAATTTTTAAGGGCTCTTTTTATTTAAATGACCCTTTTTATTATAATAAGCCTGTGCTGGAGTACTATCACACCTGATGGTAAGTAGTGATGTAGACGAAAACCGTAAAGCGCACTGACTTGGGTTAGTAAAAGAGTGCATTAAAAAAGAAGAAAAGGGGAGAATTATATTACAAAAGAATAGAAGGGGAGTTGGTAGAGCAAGTAGATGAGTTTGTATATTTGGGATGTGTGTTTAGCAGGGATGGTAGAATTGATAAGGATATAGAACGACGAGTGAATGCAGGAAATAGAGTTATTGGGGCTCTACACTCTATTGTGAAAAGTCAAAATGTGTCCAAAAAGGCACGTATGGCAATTCACAATGCTATGTTAGTACCTACTTTAATGTATGGTAGTGAAAGTTGGGTGTGGCAGAAGAAGCACGAGAGTAGAATAAATGCTGTAGAAATGCGGTCATTAAGGAGTATGTTAGGGATGAATCTGAATGACAGAGTGAGAAATTGTTTAATAAGAGAAGAGTGTGGTTTGCAAGATGATGTTGTGACCAGGATTAGGAAAGGAATGCTTCGGTGGTTTGGCCATGTAGAAAGAATGAATGAGGAAAGAGTGACAAAGAAAATTTATGTTGCAGAGGTGAACGGCATAATTGGGAAGGGTCGCCCTAGGCGAAAGTTTATCGACCAAATTGGCGATATATTAAAAATGGGCCAAATCAAGAGTACCTTTAACCGACGAGCGTGTATGCGTAGGTATATGGATGTGGAGGAAGCGAGAGAGGTGTGTCAGGATCGTGCCAAATGGAAGTCTATAATCTCTGCCTACCCCTCTGGGTGACAGGCATGAGTGTTTATGTATATATGCATTAAAACTGTGCATTACGAACGACGAAGCAAGTCAACTCTATGCAGGAATACAACGCTATGTATCACAAGTACATTCGATCGCTATCAGGCTCTAGCAAATTGGACTCTGTATGTTTCCGGAATATCTCAATAGATATTCCGGATTAGGGGAGTAAAAGCCAGTTATGTTGCGTTATAAGCATAACACAAGGACATAGTTTTTAACGTAATATATTAGTTACCCATCATTATATATTTAATTATACGAAAGGTTACACTCTCTATTATTTTTTCGCCCCCAAGGCCGTCTACACTATGACACAAGGGGTCATGACGAAAAAATCTTACACTTTTTATCGCCTATAAGCTCCCATCCGCCAAACCCGTACTATCCGATAAAGAACTTTGTTCCAAAAACCGTGTAGTGACGGTGTAAGAATAGTCATTATTAAGACAGGAGAAGAAATATATTCCTTACACTATTTTTCATTCTCCAAGTACCTACTTACATAATAATGTTATTGTATTTTTTAATGTTGCCCAATTACTTTTCCTTTAAAAATAAAATAACGAATGTTTTGTTATTTTTAAACAGACCGTAATATATATTTAGAGCAATATATAATACAACAATATACCCGTTTGCGGCGGAATTGTAACAGTTCAATATGATTATATTATTTTGCTTTGTAATTGTCCTACGCATACTCTATGTCTTTCCGAAAGCTATCTACTCTACTCTATTACTTGCTCTAGATTTGACTGATCATGATATACGTTGAGTATATAAGTGAGGACAGCTCGCATGTGCTCCCTTCAAAATTGCTTTGCGGGAGATCATTAGCAAATAACCGAGTGGCGCGCGAAGGCGATAACAAAATAATCGTTTCTAATTGAGAAACGTGCCGGCGTGTGCTTATTGCGCTGCCGTTTATGTGGTTACGTCGAAGAGTAATTTACCCCCTTGTACCAGCCATTTCGTAATGGTTCTAAACAACTGGTTCTAATGTGCTTTAAAATCCTGATTAAAGCTGGCGTATGGCTCTGCGGTCAAAGTTAATGCATCTAGGATGTGATCTCTTTCGTTTCCTCTTCTTAGAATCCAAGAATTATAGTAGTTTTCTTTAAGAATAAAGTAATTTCCAAAAAATGTCAACAGGCAAGCAAAATGTATAATCGCAGATCTTCTCTTCAAAGTCTGTGATAACTTAGATTGCGCATTTTTGCTTGTTGTTTCTGTTCTGTATCTGTCGATATTTAAAGTGTCTTCTAAGTCAGAGATCGCGGCGTATTTATATTCCTCTTTATATTTCGCTAGTCTTTGTTGCAATTTACAACTGGTTCTTTTGTAAAACAAGTACAATGAAAATAACCGCCGTTTATCGTAACCGGAAAGCAGAAGTAGGTAAAAGACGAAATCCTAGTCAGAAAAAGAGTTCTGTCCTGTTCTATGAGTGGCTAAGCGCTGCCTTCTTTGATTTGAGTAACAATGTTTGACACTTTCTTCACTAAAGACTTTAACGAGTAATGTATAGAGGGGTTATAAGGGGTTCGCAAAGTTTTGTATCAATAAATAATTTAGCGTTTTAAAGTTAAAACCTTATCAAGGCCTCGTTGTGTACGACATCATTATTAACTTTTTTAGCCAAGCAATTGGTATTATGTTGCTAAAGTCTACTCTTGTCCAGTAATACAATTCTACTTTCAAATGCTTAAATTGGCACATTTATCTTCGGCATCTGCATTGCAGGTGTGAAAGTTGAAGTGATGTTATGGCCGTGCCGTACTTTGATAAATGACGTTGGACATAGCTAACATATTATTTGAATTTTGAGATATGGTCAGAGTTGTAGCTTAAAAATATAATTATTATCAATGTGATGTATTGTGTACATCTATAATAAAATAATATAACAAAAATATAATATGCAAAATAACAAAACAATAAGTTATAAGGTATTTATCGTAGATCACGTCAAGTACTACTTTAAAAGAACTGTAACATTCAATTTCCCTTACACGAATATTTTACCGGCGAACCCCTAACTATTTTTGTATTTTGAGGACCAGGCCTACGATTAGCAGTTTTATTATTAAAACTAACCAAATTCTCCAATACAATGAAATGATGATGATTATTATTAAAGAAAAAGGTACCAAGTTACAATATAATACTGTGACAGTGAATAAATAAATAAGAAGAAAAAATTGGTAGCTTAATAAGATTATTATTAGCTGAATAACAAGTATACAGACGCCGTCGCCGAGCTGCGCCACTAACTCAAAACTATAAAGATTTGACTATTTAAAATGTTAAGTGATCATGAGTGCAGTATCATTCATCTTATTCTTTTAGAAATACGAGTATAAGTACGCCTATTATTTAATTTTTGAAAGAATAATCGGAAATGGGAATTTCTATCTGGTACGTTAAACATAAGCTTTGAGAATATTTTAAAACAATTTTAACTGATGACGACGAGGTATAGATCAACATCTAGCAGTTGTAAACGCGATTGCTGGTCACGAAGTTCCGGCTTCAAATCCAGGTTAGGGTCAAAGTCAGTAATTGCACTTTTCTGTCAAGAAATTCTCAGTGGCAGACCGGAGTCAGGAAGTTGGAGTCAGTGTTTCACCACCGTGGAGAACCTCGAAAAGCACGTAAAGCATTGGTCCTGCGTCTGATCTTTCTCCAGTCATGTGTGATTATCGGACTATGACAGCGAGGAAATAGAGAGAGCACCTGTGCTTGCGCTCTCCACTATAATCCTGTCCTGCGCAAATGGCTAGTCACCGTCGAGACTGGCCGCCGTGACAGAAATACGGTCTAAATTATTATCATTTAGGGATATTTTGTAGTATTCTCATAAAAAGCCAATATCTATTAAATAAAGTAAAATTAATAAATAGATTAAAACCCAACTAGACGGAATCCCTCGGCAGGGGTGACCAAACGGCCGGGGATTAGGGAGAAAGGGAAAGAAATTGGCGGACGAACGAAACGACGAGCGACGACGAAATATGCAAAAGGTGGTTTCGAGGAGCACCGCCTTCTGCATAATTGCGCCCGGAGCGGTCGTTCACGATTTCCCTGTCGCCTCAGATGACCCGGGAGGCTGGCCGGGATTAACCCTTTTGCAGAAAGACTACCGGATTATTCTTATTGTATTAGAACTGTATGGTTGTGACCTTGGCATAATTACAATTTTAACGTTTTTCGATTCGGTTCAATAACGTGATATTTGTTTTGTTACAGTATGCCCGTCAATAGACATACGGAGCCACCCTGAGCAGATGCTAAAGCTACGAGGGTGCCGGGTGATCGAAGGTCACCTCAGTATTGTCGTTATCGAACATCCCTCGCCGAATGCATTTGACAACATGAGCTTCCCTGAACTAAGGGAAGTTACTGGCTATATAAAGATATATAGGTATGTATTCTGCACAGTCATTTATTTTTTAAATGTTCTTGTATTATTGTCAAACTACATCTCAATAGGGGTTGAACAGCAGTTTTATAGTAACCCTATTTTTGGCACATTACATTAAAATGTATAATAATGTTAGATTAATTTATCTTTTGTGTTAATATCAACGTGTATATTTTCAGGCTGATGGGGGTGCGGAACCTCGGCGACCTATTTCCGAATCTCTCTGTAGTGCGCGGTATGCAACTGTTCAAGGACTACGCTATAGTTGTGTTTGACTGCGAAGATCTTGAGGTTAGTTGCAAAAATAGTCATAATAAACCGTATAGTAGATTTTTTTGACTAATTTTATATTGTTTCACACAAAAATTAGTGGAATTTCTTTATTTCCTCGACTTAAGCAGAAATGACAACGTTTTTGATTATAATGTGCTAACAATTTATATTCGTTTGATATTGTAGGGAATTCGTTTGATTTGAACTCCGAATTAATACTTTAAAGCCCTTATTGTTCAACCAAAGTTGTCTAAATATGAGTTAATATACCTTTCCACACATTTTCTATTCAAAATCCTAAATAAATAAATTAAGAATAAAAACTAGCATTATATACTAGCCGCCTTATTTTAAAAATCGGAAAATTTACTGATTTCAAACAACATTACATTAATTCGTTCTTTCCGCTTCTGGTACGCTACTTATATTTTTTTATTGTAAGGTATACAAAAAAAACGACAAGTTTGTAAATAAGACAAGGTGACAAGTGACATTAATACATCCGTCTTTTTTGTACTGTGTTATTTAGAAAAGAAGATTATTTTTTTGGATGTCTGTGGTTCAAACTCAAAATTTTGTACTGTTTATGGCATCCTCTATGCTTACTTTTAAGTACTACTAAGAAAAGTTATATTGTTTTACTTAGTATAAGTACAAAAGTAATTTCAAGCATTCATTCATCTGTTTTATTTATTTGTATGAATTTTTCGATTGTATAAACAACCTCTGTTTTTATATTTTTGTTACGACCATTAAGAGGACGATTGTATTAAGCTATGCAATGGCATCCTTTGTCTCCACAGTCGCTGGGCCTTCGTTCTTTGTCGAAAGTGGAACGCGGCGGGGTCCGCATACAGCAGAACGATCGTCTCTGTTACACCAATACTATTGACTGGTCGCGCATTGTGGCGGACGGCGACGACAACATCTTGATCCGGGTAAGGTGGGGCATCTATTATTACCGCCGAACAAATAAACAATTAGTATACATTAAATATATTATTCCTGTACACGTATATTTAACTAATATTTATTTGTTTTTCTCCTTGTTTAAGATTACCACTCGCTATTTATCACCATTTTCGTTTTTTTTCGAGCACTACATGGTAGAGCCACGCTGCAGCTACGAGTATATATTATAGATGCAGCACGATTGGGTCGGCTCGACCGGGGTAAGACCACGCTCTTACAGAATACCAACGTAAACCAGCACAATAATGCTGTGTTGTTTTACATGCAGTTAGTTTAGAGAATCGGGGATCTTTCCTGGTAATGAGGGGTTTACACCTTTAGGGGTGACAACGCCTCTGCATTTTGATTCTTAATCGTGGATAGAATGCAGATGTCTATGGGTAGTCGCATCCACTTGGCAACAGGTGGACTGTGACATCCTTATTCTATAAAAAGGAGGGGTTAGTAATAAACACTTGCATTAAATTTCATACTACGCGACCCGAGTGTGATCGTTGCCCACACTGCTCATATTGTTATTTTCAATTTAGGTGCTAATATATCACTATATCACTTGTTCGGCGGTGAAGGAAAACATTTTGAGGAAATTAGCATGTCTGTGAAATTTAAAATAGTTCGAGGACTTGTGAAGTCCTGATCTGATTAGCAGTGAAGCCGCAGGGCGGATCCTTGTCTACTTCATAACCCACTCAGAAAAATCCTGTGACCAAATGGAACTCATGTAAACTGTTATTATACTCTTTATTTTCATCCTCTTAATATTTCTATATAAAATTTGTCAATTTCGGTAAAAGTGGAAAAACCAATTTAAATAACTGTTAAGTACACTGAAAAATTTTATTTTAAAATTTAGGCCGAATCAAAAACTGAAATCAATCGATTTCGTGAAATGAATGGAACCTAAATAAATTTATTTTTAATGTTTTAGGCCCTATTATATAATAACCATGACAAATGTTTTATTTCCAGTCATCTGTTTCACTTACTTTTCTAATGCATAAAACGAACTATTTTATTACAAAAATATCCTCATTTATTACCAATCCCAAAAACTGAAATCTCCAAGTGCGAAGGCAGTCTCTAAAGAGCAGCGAGCTACTCAGACCACGTTTAACTAAAAAAATATCGGTACAGGTGAAAAATTGTGAAAAAAGTGATAGGTTAGCCCAAGGGTTAATAATCACAAACCAAATATCCCATTAGTTCTCTTTTACGACATGCTGGACAAGTAAGGCAGTTGGCACATTTTTTTTTGTTATTAGTCCAAACATAAACATGAGGCCTTTATGTGAGACTAACATGGGTATATTATAAACTAGTAGGTACTACGTATATTGTAATTGTAATATTCCCATGTTAGTTTGACTCTATTTAAAGTTTTAATTACTTTATGGTTGTATTATTTACTAGCGTACCCGAGGCGCAATACGATTGTCTCAGAGACTATGATAGTAAAATGCGTCATGTGCAGTCGCAACGACGCCGTAAAATTTTATCGATTTCATAAAAAATAAGAAAACAAAGATTGTTAATTGTGATTGATTTTTATTTATTAATGACAATCATTCAAAATTCCTGTGCTGAATATAGCTCTCACCCATAAGTTGCTTCAAACCAAGAAAATACGTTTTACGTTTTTAGCAGTTTTAAAGCGGTAGAACCATGCTGCAGCTATATTATGGTTGTAGCACGAATGGGTCGGTTTGTCCTAGTAGGACCATGCTCTCCCAGAATACTAGTGTAAAACAGCAGCTTAATGCTTCTGTATTTCATATGGTGAGTGTAACCTCAAACATTTTTTACTGGAAACGAGGCATTCCATCTCAGTTATCAGGGGTGACAACGCATCTGCATTTTGTTTTTTAATTGAAGATATGGTCTATGGGCCACAGCATCAGCTTATCATCAAGTGGACTGTGTGCTCGTTTGTCACCATTATTACATACATATAATCACGCCTCTTTCCCATAGGGGTAGGCAGAGACCACTTCTTTCCACTTGCTACGATCCTTACATACTTATTTTGCTTCGTCCACTTTCATTAAGCCCTTCATACATGCTCTACGGTTTAGGGTACTCTTGACTTGGCCTTTCCCATTCTTCTTATAAAAAGAAGGTGTAAAACTGGCTAATAGAGTTTACGTTATCAGGGGTAGTCGAAGCACCTTGATCTGTGATTAAATGTAAAAGATAAGCGACTTCTCGTCGCAAAGACTTACATTTATTAGGTTGTAATTTTAAATTAGCCTCTGAATGTGGAAAATAATATTTGCCATCGTTCTTATGCTTGGCAAGCAAGTTGGCAACTTCAGTTTTTATCAAATTGTTATTGGGAAGGTTAATGCTGCAGATCTTTTGTCATCATTTACCTTTGTCGTCTCTGAGTGAAAAAATACCATAGTGATCGTAGCCCACGGTCTTTTATACCACCAACCGGTAATAGAAGGTTCGGTGGTGGAAAAAGTGGCATCCATAACTTTGTGTAACTGTATCGTGAATATTTTGTTATTCATCATAAATAGTTTTTACGTGCAACACTTAAATTACCCCATACACGTACGTGTGGCTCTTGTAACTAGGTATTTCTGTGAATTTGCTTGAATGGAATGACTTCCTGGTAATGGCCTAAAAAGCATACATACATAGTTGACAATAAAATGTGCAATTTGAAGTTATCTTCACTTATCTATACAATATAATACCAATTATTTGTGACGGCGGCGTAAATGAATCCATTATTCCTTCTCCTTCCGTGAGTATCGCGGGAGTTACCTATGGGACATCCCAAGATATCATGGCCATAGATAGATGTGGTAACGGGAATAAGCCGACAAAGGTCAAACATTCGGTATTGCAATCGCAAATCCGCCCGTTATTTCCAAAAATAAATATATAAAAGTGAAAGGTGTAAGCTCTTTTCTTGAAGGTCCCTAAGTCGTATCGGTCCGGAAAAATCGCCGGTGGTAAACAATTCCACAGAGAAGTTAATAATAGATAACAGAGAAATTGATAAAGTTCCAAAAATATTACATGGCTTAAACAAAATTTGGATTTGTTAGGTTAGGAATTTTGAAAGGTTGAAAGAGAAAGGAAAATCGATAGTCAAAAAATATTAATTTTAGAAAACAAAATATGATTAAGAGATAAAAATAAGTTATGGGAATATTAAATACATGACTGATATGATGTATGATCTATGATATATTATGACTGACATGATCTATGAATATATGATTTTAGCTAAATTATTTCTGGTAGAAACATTAATGTGAAATCGGTATACCGCTACTACGCTCCACATGAACTAGTCAATAGCGATGTCTTAAACGCAAGTTCGCTGTGTCGGGCATGCTCAAAATATAATTTGTTATCTAAATTATTTGTTTCTCCATTTCTTAAGTATTACCTAAACGTTACTACATTAAAGTAGATAACAATTACATACACATTTCGTCCTGATAATATTTCACGAAGATGTGAATAGAGTGTGTAGTGAATAGAATAACTATTTTTTCCGTTACTAGTTATTAATAATACAAAAACATTAATTATGAAACAAAACATGCGATTTACGGCCCGTGAGGGCCACGTTATCGTATTAGTGGAGTAAATTATACGTGTAATAATTGCTTACAAAGATACTGTATATTTGATAGTGACAGTAGCACTTCCAAAAGTATCGAATCTCAACCGTCGAATCTTATAACAATAAGCTTAGCTTAATCAGATATCGTAGGAACAAAGAAGATATCGAATCTAAGCCCTTTTGTCTCCTACATATGGCTTTTAATTGCATGTAAAAGTATATACGTAATTGGATAATTTTCTACTTTTTTATAAGTGTGTTACCTCATAACTTTTTTCTTATTTCTGATCATTTTTTATTTGAAAACTGGTGCTTCTCATTAATTTATATTGGAGTCGGTTGTACAAAATTTTGAATTTTAAATTATTTTGTTACGTTTGTTGTATTTTTACAAGTTACTGTGTCAAACAAGTCCACCTGGTAGGAAGTGGATGCGGTGACCCTACATCTATCCACGATTAAGAATGTAGATGCGATGTCACCCCTGACACTAAGATGGTATGCCTCTTTACCAGTAAATAATCTTAGGTTCTTGTCACTCACAACATAAAACATAACAGCATTATGCTGGTATTTTACTAATATTTTCTGAGCGAGTGTCTCGATCCTTCCCCCGCGTAACCGACCAATTCAGCCAAAATACAGCTATAAAGTGGCTCTACCAAACGAACATTGTGTACCAAATAAAAAAGTATCATTATCATTATTATCATTGCAGCCCTTCACAAGTCCACTGCTGAACATAGGCCTCCCTCAACTAATGCCACAAAGCACGGTCTTGGGCCACCTGCATATCTTGCTAGGTCGTCACTCCATCTAGTGGTGGGACGCCCTACACTTCGCCTATTGCTACGAGGCTACTACTCGAGAACCTTTTCTCCCCATGGTTGGTCGGTTCTTCGAGCTATATGGCCGAACCATTGCCACTTCAGCTTACTAATCCGTTGCGATATATCGGTTACTCTGATTCTACTGCGGATATCCTCATTTCTAAGTTTATCACGCAGAGAAACCCCGAGCATAGCCCTCTCCATAGCTCGCTGAGTGACCTTGAGCTGCCTCATACGGCCAGTAATGAAGGACAACGTCTCAGATCCATAGGTCATCACTGGCAACACGCACTGGTTGTACAATCTCGTTTTCAAGTTTTGATATAACTGAGGAGAAGATGTGTCGTAATCTCCCGAATTTGAATCCGTCGATTGACCTCTCGAACGAAGTTGGTTTACGTAGTCGGACTATTTGTCCCAGGTAAACATACTCGTCAACAACGTCGTGCTTAGTGCTGCCTGCAACTACCGGCATAGGTGTGACATGGCCGTAACACATGATCTTTGTATTGTCCATGTTCATCTTAAAGTCTATCCGTTTGAGACTTGGGAGTCATTATCGAGGTTATTGAGCAGTGCTTAGGGCCTCCAGCGATTCTGCCATAAGTATTATATCGTCGGCTAGTCGAAGGTGGGTGATGTACTCGCCATTGATGTTAATACCGTTTCCTTTCCAGTCCAGTAGCTTGAAAAGTCTTCCAATGCAGCGGTGAAGAGTTTCAGGGATATAACGTCACCCAGACTTACACCTTTTTGCAGTTGTATAGGTTTCGTACTCTGGTTCTGTACTCAGATAGCCATCGTAGTCCTACTGTACAAACACTTCAGCACTTCGATATACCGACAGTCAACTTGACACCGCTGAAAGGACTGGAGCACCGCCCAAATTTCGACGGAATCAAAGGCTCTATCAAAGTCCACATACGTAAAACATAGTGGCAAATTGTACTCCTCGGTCTTCTGTATAATATGCCGAAGGGTATGTATGTAGCCTATGGTACTAAAGCCTTTTCGAAAACCGGCTTGTTCGGGAGGTTGGAAGTCGTCGAGTCTGTGTGCGAGACGATTCGTAATGTCTCGAAAACAGTACGTAGACGCGGCTCAGAAAGGAAATAGGTCTGTAGTTCTTCAAGAGAGCGTTATCACCTTTCTTGAAGAACAAGACCACCGCAGTTCTGCTCTACGTCTCCGGTGTAGGGCCACCATGGAGGGCGGAATTAAAGAGCTTCTGAAGGACTTCAAGTACCGCTTTCAGAAGCTCCGCTGTAATTCCATCCTCACCTTAACTTGCCGTTTTTTAAGGTGCTGGAGAGACATTCTAATCTCGCTCAGACTGACGTCCGGAATATCATTGGAACAAAGGTTTTTGGTTCGAATCTTAGACGCAGCTAACGTTTATGGTAAAACGCAAACTGTCGGATTTTGGGACTGGTTGCGCTGTGATTGGTCACGTTTGTAACATTTCAAGAGTTTCCTTCCAGTTTAGGGCTTGGGTAGGTTAGGACATATTGTGAGTGTATCTGTGTTTGTGAAAATTTTTCTTGCAGTGTAATAATATATCCTGCGCATTTTATAGTTTCCAATTATTTGAAAATTGACGCTGTGGTAAAAAATCGGCCAGGAGGAAAGAACCAAAAAAAGTTTCATTTATTAAATACGTGCCTTGGTGGAGCTGCGAGATTTTGGTGCCTTATTTTAACATAATTTCCTTTATGTTGTAGTCGAACTACGACATACGGCTGTGCGGCCTGTGTCCGAACGCACAAAGCCGCATGGAGGACCACCGGCAACAGCACTTGCAGTGTCCCGCTGATACCTCCGGACGACTACTGTGTTGGGACGACAAGCACTGTCAAAAGAGTAAGTTTAACCACCATATACATTGTAGGAAATTTTTAAGGGGTTTTCTAAGGATGTGCGATGGATTCGTGTATCATAGTTCTGAGCTCGAAAAAAAAATTGCCGCAATCTAAATACTGATTGGTTTAGTGATGTTAGAGTTTTAATACGTATAATAAACAATTTATAATATATAATTATTATCAAGACATAAACACATGCCACACGCCGACAACATGCCGCGAGTTCAAAAGGTCGTGGGTTCGAATCCGTCATACGACTACTTTGTTTTTGTTGTCTGTTCAAAAATATTGATTAAAAGGGCCTCTCATTTTTCTATTTTCTTATTTAAGGAAATAGCAGAATAAATGCTGTTAGAACCGATCGTTTCCAATTTAATCAATGAAAATCGTAACCGTGAGGAATACTGCTTGTCTAAGAAATTAAAATAAATATTTCAGAGATTTTTTTGCCCTTAAAACTCTCAGAAATGAGAGGAGCCGTATATAGGCTGTAGTTTTTCTTTTACATGATAATCCTTCTTTAGTAAAGTGATGGCTACTTTATTAAGACTTTTACTTCACTTGTAGCTTTATACAACTTAAAGACAGTACTGTCTTTAAGTTGTATAAAGCTTGTCATCACGCTACTGGGAACCGTGGCAGTCTTTTTACATGATGCTTTATTGAGTAATAGAGCTTTTTGTTTGTATGAGTCCATTTGAGAAGACCAGCTCTTAATAACCTCCCTCATATGTTTACTGCTAAGCAGTAATTTCAGGCTGTTAGGCATTCCGTCTTAGTTATCAGGGCGATCACGGAACTCAGAAAGAGATAGGAAAAGCATAACTATACGCAGGGGCTCATACTTCGCGGTTTAGTGGCTCGCGGAGTTAAACGATGTCATTCAAAGACTGGTGCTTAATAAATTGTAGAACAAGAAGTCAAGTGTATCTGTGTAGTGTTTATCTTCACTACACACAGGAGGAATTTGTTTTCATTGATAATTTTTAAAACCCTTCTTTAAAATCATATTTTTGGCAAAAACATGATCTTACCAAAAACTTTAAATTAAATTCTATGAATATTGCTCGCAATGTAAGCTCGCGATTTTCATGATCTTATGTGCGTAAAATGTAGTAGGTACACTGCAAATAACAAGTCTCATTCAAACACATTTCATGACGTACATTGTACTTCCGATAAACTTTTTCTTGAAAGTTTTTTTTACCGCTACCACGTAAAACATAATGTACTTATATTCTTTTGTATGTGACTATTTACTTTAATATAAAATATTTTTTTTTTTATTTCGAAGCTTGTTCAAATTATAGATTACCAAATAACGATAACATTTCATCATATTTCAATTATTAACGTCAATATAAAATAAATTGATTTTGCCCTATACATCAGCAATGCAATATTTGTCTGTGAAGGTTATCTGTGGACTAATTATAGTGTTCTATTTAACGTTGCTTGTGTTTGCGTAACATTGGGTGTATTATCTTAATTTCGAATGAGTGGTGTTGGTCAAAAGTAAGGTCTGGACCGGCCATACAACGTGTTCTGAAACTCAACATCAAGCGGGCAAAAAGGGTGAGGGGGGGGGGGTCATATCAGTCCTAGGAAAAAAATCCATATCAATTTGTTCAGTTATAACTAAGCCGACCATTTATTTTTTTTACTCAAAACGGGAAATGGGTTTCTTTGTACTCGCCAGTTAGTAGGTTAACAATAAAAATAAACACAACTTTTTAATGTTATTTATTTACAAAACCTATTATTACAAAACCGTTTTCAGTGCCTAGAAGACTGCAATGAAGTGGACGATATAAATGACAAGCTCGTGGAAACTGTCCATGCGGTCGGAGCTAAGTTCTGCAAGACCCGCCGCAGAAGAACACAAAAACTCTCCGATCACACTCTTAATCTCATGGCTGTTAGACGGGAGACAAAGCTACATTCTTCAACAGACTTGACAGCATACAGGCATCTGAACAGACAGATCTCCAAATGCATGCGGCGGGACTTACGCAACTTCAATACAGCTCGTATTGAAGAAGCGATAGAGCGGAACCAAGGCTCCAAAGTCTTTGCCAGAGATCTGTCTGCCAGAAAGAGCCAACTGTCAAAGCTGAAGACGGAATGTGGCAGCATCGTTTCCGGGACACCTGAGATTTTGAGTGAGATTGAGAGGTTCTATGGGCAGCTGTACACGTCATCGTTGGAGCCACACGCAAGTGTGAGTAACGATCCAAGAGCGAGTCTCATCCGACACTATTCCGAAGATATCCCGGACGTCAGTCTGAGCGAGATTAGAATGGCTCTCCAGCACCTTAAAAACGGTAAGGCCCCAGGTGAGGATGGAATTACAGCGGAGCTTCTGAAAGCGGGTGGAAGACCGGTACTTGAAGTCCTTCAGAAGCTCTTTAATTCCGTCCTCCATGGTGGCATTACACCGGAGGCGTGGAGCAGAAGCGCGGTGGTCTTGTTCTTCAAGAAAGATGACAACGCTCTCTTGAAGAACTACAGACCGATTTCCCTTCTGAGCCGCGTCTACGTGCTGTTTTCGAGAGTCATTACGAATCGTCTCGCGCGCAGACTTGACGACTTCCAGCCTCCCGAACAAGCCGGTTTCCGAAAGGGCTTTAGCACCATAGACCACATACATACCCTTCGGCAAGTTGTACAGAAGTCCGAAGAGTACAATTTGCCACTATGTCTGGCGTATGTGGACTATGAGAAAGCCTTTGATTCCGTCGAAATTTGGGCGGTGCTGCAGTCCCTTCAGCGGTGCCAAATTGACTGTCGGTATATCGAAGTGTTGAAGTGCTTGTACAGTAGGGCTACGATGGCTATCCGAGTACAGAACCAGAGTACGAAACCTATCCAATTGCAGAGAGGTGTAAGACAGGGTGACGTCATATCCCCGAAACTCTTTACCGCTGCATTGGAAGACGTTTTCAAGCTTCTTGACTGGAAAGTATACGGTATCAACATCAATGGCGAGTACATCACTCACCTTCGATTTGCCGACGATATAGTCCTTATGGCAGAATCGCTGGAGGGCCTAAGCACTATGCTCAATGACCTCAATAGTGTTTCCCAACGGATAGGTCTTAAGATGAACATGGACAAAACAAAGATCATGTTTAATGTCCATGTCACACCTATGCCGGTAGTTGTTGGGAGCACTAAGCTCGAAGTTGTTGACGAGTATGTTTACCTGGGACAAATAGTCCGACTAGGTGAGTCCAACTTCGACCGAGAGGTCAATCGACGGATTCAACTCGGCTGGGCAGCGTTCGGGAAGCTACGACACATCTTCTCGTCAGACATACCTCAAAACCTTAAAACGAAATTGTACAACCAGTGCGTGTTGCCAGTGATGACTTACGGAACTGAGACGTGGTCCTTCACTGCTGGCCGTATGAGGAAGCTCAAGGTCGCTCAGCGAGCTATGGAGAGGGCTATGCTCGGAGTTTCTCTGCGTGATAAACTTAGGAATGAGGATATCCGCAGTAGAACCAGAATAACCGACATAGCCCAACAAATTAGCAAGCTGAAGTGGCAGTGGGCCGGCCATATAGCTCGAAGAACCGACAACCGATGGGGAAGAAAGGTTCTCGAGTGGCAGCCTCGTACCGGTAGGCGAAGTGTAGGGCGTCCCCCCACGAGATGGAGTGACGACCTGGTAAGACGTGCAGGAAGTCGATGGATGCAGGTGGCTCAGGACCGTGCTTTGTGGAATTCTTTAGGGGAGGCCTATGTTCAGCAGTGAACTTGTGAAGGGCTGTAATGAATGAAAAATGAATGAATTATTATATTCACATTTATTATAATTATTTTTCATCATCATCATTACAGCCCTTCACAAGTCCACTGCTGAACATAGGCCTCCCCCAAAGAATGCCACAAAGCACGGTCCTGAGCCACCTGCATCCATCGACTTCCTGCATGTCTTACCAGGTCGTCACTCCATCTCGTGGGGGGACGCCCTACACTTCGCCTACCGGTACGAGGCTGCCACTCGAGAACCTTTCTTCCCCATCGGTTGTCGGTTCTTCGAGCTATATGGCCGGCCCACTGCCACTTCAGCTTACTAATCCGTTGGGCTATGTCGGTCACTCTGGTTCTACTGCGGATATCCTCATTCCTAAGTTTATCACGCAGAGAAACTCCGAGCATAGCCCTCTCCATAGCTCGCTGAGCGACCTTGAGCTTCCTCATACGGCCAGCAGTGAAGGACCACGTCTCAGTTCCGTAAGTCATCACTGGCAACACGCACTGGTTGTACAATTTCGTTTTAAGGTTTTGAGGTATGTCTGACGAGAAGATGTGTCGTAGCTTCCCGAACGCTGCCCAGCCGAGTTGAATCCGTCGATTGACCTCTCGGTCGAAGTTGGACTTACCTAGTCGGACTATTTATCCCAGGTAAACATACTCGTCAACAACTTCGAGCTTAGTGCTCCCAACAACTACCGGCATAGGTGTGACATGGACATTAAACATGATCTTTGTTTTGTCCATGTTCATCTTAAGACCTATCCGTTGGGAAACACTATTGAGGTCATTGAGCATAGTGCTTAGGTCCTCCAGCGATTCTGCCATAAGGACTATATCGTCGGCAAATCGAAGGTGAGTGATGTACTCGCCATTGATGTTGATACCGTATCCTTTCCAGTCCAGAAGCTTGAAAACGTCTTCCAATGCAGCGGTGAAGAGTTTCGGGGATATGACGTCACCCTGTCTTACACCTCTCTGCAATTGGATAGGTTTCGTATTCTGGTTCTGTACTCGGATAGCCATCGTAGCCCTACTGTACAAGCACTTCAACACTTCGATATACCGACAGTCAACTTGGCACCGCTGAAGGGACTGCAGCACCGCCCAAATTTCGACGGAATCAAAGGCTTTCTCATAGTCCACATACGCCAGACATAGTGGCAAATTGTACTCTTCGGACTTCTGTACAACTTGCCGAAGGGTATGTATGTGGTCTATGGTGCTAAAGCCCTTTCGGAAACCGGCTTGTTCGGGAGGCTGGAAGTCGTCAAGTCTGCGCGCGAGACGATTCGTAATGACTCTCGAAAACAGCACGTAGACGCGGCTCAGAAGGGAAATCGGTCTGTAGTTCTTCAAGAGAGCGTTGTCACCTTTCTTGAAGAACAAGACCACCGCACTTCTGCTCCACGCCTCCGGTGTAATGCCACCATGGAGGACAGAATTAAAGAGCTTCTGAAGGACTTCAAGTACCGGTCTTCCACCCGCTTTCAGAAGCTCCGCTGTAATTCCATCCTCGCCTGGGGCCTTACCGTTTTTAAGGTGCTGGAGAGCCATCCTAATCTCGCTCAGACTGACATCCGGGATATCTTCGGAATAGTGTCGGATGAGACTCGCTCTTGGATCGTTACTCACACTTGCGTGTGGCTCCAACGATGATGTGTACAGCTGCCCATAGAACCTCTCAATCTCACTCAAAATCTCAGGTGTCCCGGAAACGATGCTGCCACATTCTGTCTTCAGCTTTGACAGTTGGCTCTTTCTGGCAGACAGATCTCTGGCAAAGACTTTGGAGCCTTGGTTCCGCTCGATCGCTTCTTCAATACGAGCTGTATTGAAGTTGCGTAAGTCCCGCCGCATGCATTTGGAGATCTGTCTGTTCAGATGCCTGTATGCTGTCAAGTCTGTTGAAGAATGTAGCTTCATCTCCCGTCTAACAGCCATGAGATTAAGAGTGTGATCGGAGAGTTTTTGTGTTCTTCTGCGGCGGGTCTTGCAGAACTTAGCTCCGACCGCATGGACAGTTTCCACGAGCTTGTCATTCATATCGTCCACTTCATTGCAGTCTTCCAGGCACTGAAAACGGTTTTGTAACTCGAGCTGAAAGGTTTCGGGACTCTGGAACAAAGCACGAGGGGGACGGAGCGTTGACTTCATTAGACGAGACCTCTCCAACTTAACGTTTAGGTTCAGTGTGCCTCTAACCATTCGGTGATCGCTACCAGTTTTCACCCTCGCAATCACGGAGACATCACTGAACAGTTGTCGTCTGGTCGTCATAATGAAGTCAATCTCATTTTTGTGGAACCGTCGGGGCTCGACCAGGTCCACTTCCTGTGGGGCCGCTTCTGGAAGAAAGAGTTCATCATAAAGAGTCCCTCTTTCTCCATGAAGTCGGCCAGCTGCTGGCCCCTTGGGTTCCGTTGCCCTATTCCAAATTTCCCTACTTTCAGCTCACCGTTCTCTCTTGTGCCTAGTTTTGCATTGAAGTCTCCCATTAACACCGTATATTGGGTTTTGGAGGAATGCATGGCTCTAGAGATATCCTCATACATTTCCTCCACCTCCTCATCGGGGTGTGCCGAGGTTGGTGCGTAAACCTGTATGACCTTCAGCGAATACCGTTTGGTGATTCTGAGTATAAGGTACGCAACCCTCGTCGACACACTCCCGATCTTTACAACGTAGTTAACGAGAGACTTGTGGACGATAAATCCGACACCTCCTTGGGACAGATGGTCGCCCTCCCGGTGATAGAGCAAGTTGCCGGATTCGAGGATTACCGTGTCCTCCCCCTCTCTTCGGACTTCGGATAATCCTATAATATGCCAGCGCAACTTGTCTATCTCTTCTTCCAGCTCCACGATCTTCTCGTCAGTCCTCAGGGTGCGTGCGTTGTACGTTGCCAGGTCGAGTCGTCTAAGGTGGCAACCGAACCTCCACCGGAGATTCTTAGCACCCCCTGCCCCGCCGTTACCATGGTCGCCACCGTAGCCAGGAATAGCGGGGCCGCCGGGGACTGGGGGCCGTTTCTTTGTTACTGTCATTCATAGGGGGTATTTGCCATAGTTGCCACGCTTGGCGAGCGGGTTGGCAACCGCAGTTTTTTTATTGTAATTTGGCTATTATCAGGAAGATGCTGCTGCCCATCTCCTGCCTGTTTCCCTTTGTCGCCTTTTACGACACCCACGGGAGGATATGGGGTAGTGGATATTCTTGACCGCCACTACACGGCAATTATTTTTATTATAACAAATTGTGAAAAATAAAAATAAAACAATCACCAGTTCACCAGCTTCATTAAAGCAAAGTTCCTCACACAATAATTATTAAATGCAACATATTTTTTAATTATATTTGTCAGTGGAATAAAGTTGGTGATGATTTTAAATAAGAGCAACATCGCCTTTAGAACTGGAATCATAAGTGATTTTTTTCAGACGTCCACAATTTATTCATAATAGAAAAATGCTCTTTCTACTGGAGCATTTGTGCCAGTTAGACATAAAATATATTCGATTGAAATGAAAAAAAAATATTTTGAAGATTGTTAGTGCGAAAGTGTTTGAATACTATCCTACCCAACGAGTTTCTGCGGAAACTTTATATTAAACAATGGAAACTATTTTACCAAAAGATACGGAAGATTATTGATAGCACCTCTACCTGTCTCGCTCCAATTCACATGAAATGGCATCATTATCTGTATCATTCAAAAACATTTCTGTCTCATTTGCACTTGTTGAATTCAATATTTAATACATGAAAATTTAATAATGTAGCTTTTTTTTTGCTTGATTTACGACTGCGATTAATAGCACGTTTATTTAAATCTCGTTAGTGAAAAAAATCACTGTAAAATTGAGAAATTTGTGGTCACAATACGTAATAATATGATATAAGGTGTCGATTTTCCTCATTTTCCTTAATTTGTCAGTTATAACTTAACTATCTAATATGTATTTTTTCCCCGGTCTGGTATGACCCTCTCGCCCGTGCCCGCTTGACGTTGAGTTTCAGGACACGTTGTATATCGGTTCTAGTATTCCGTATAAACGGTGAATGATCACCTTTCTAACTTCTTTTTTGTGTACTGCAAGAGATATGATGTATATGTTGCCTTCTCTACAATAATAAAGAATTTAAGTACAGATGTCCCTAGGCAACTGTAGCTCCTATTAATTAGGAGAACTACTTTGATAATGTACGAAAGAAAATCGCCTTTTCCCCCGCTAAAACTCTTTGTTTCCCTTTACGTATATACGCCAGATTTTCAATCCATTGCTATACACAATTCATACAAGAATGTGCCATAAGGCAAGCATTTGTGAACGAGTTTCCCTAACTCGTTGGTTAGGTAGTGAAATTGACGTGAGTGTGGGTGACAGTGTGCCCGAGTGCGTGCGGCGGGCGCGCGTGCACGCACAACGGCACGTGCTGCAACGCGACGTGCCTGGGCGGCTGCGACGGCCCGCTGGCACGCGACTGCCACGTCTGCGCCAACTACTCGCTCGGCTACGGCGAGAACCGTACCTGCGTCTCCTCCTGCCCCGCCAACACGTACCGGGTGAGTCCGCGCTGCAAACCATCATCATTATTCACTTTACCTCAAAAATCTGAACTAAGTACCAATTTACTGTATCTGCGAAATAGCAAGTGCAAGATATTTAATATAGATTTATAATATAAGTTAATTTCAAAAAAAATAAACAAACTTAAAGGTTTATTATTTTATAAGTAGTATTGGTATTCTTCCCCTATTCTCAAAATTAAGCAATATATAGTTTTCTAGTTTACTAACTGGCCAGGCAGACGTTGTTCTGCCTTCTCCGACGACCCTGTGGCCTATAAAAATTCTTAAATTCGTAATAAAAAATATAGAGGGTCACTTATAGGGATAAAAACTATCCAATCTCTCAAGTTGGACCAAACTGCACACAATGTGCAAAACTTCATTACAATCAGTATAGTAGTTTAGGAGTTCATCGCGAACAAACAATGTGACACGTAATTTTTATATATAAAGATTAACTGTTTATATTTTACTAAATGTTACTTCACATTCCGCCACCTTAATTTTATTTCCGGACAACATAGAGTGAATAAGCTTTTGTTAAGCTAAGTCGGTGCCCTTTATTATCTTCGGCTGTATCACCATTTACCATCAGGTAGTAGTCAAGCACTGGCTTAGAATGGTTAGGAAAAGTACACAGTCAAATTACAAACTACCTACGTTTCATATTCGGTTAAAAGAATTAACACGCCGAATACCGAATATTCTGTGAACTTCCTGGCCGAATAGCCAAATATTAGGCAAAAGTATTCAGCCGTGATGGAAGCAGTGTCTATTCTTTAAAGCGTCTATTCTCTGAAGCTGGCGTGAAGGAAAGGAGTAAACTACTGCCTGAAAATGAAGAATAATTTGCCTTTCTGCACCGTTATATAATTCGAGGCAATAAACATTTATCTTTGTTCTTTTTTTAATTTTTATAATATGATAGTTGATTATGTACGCATGACAACTTTAATGCTTACAAGAAAAAAAAATTATAAACTAATTAAATATTTTCATTTCACCAATTATCTGACTACAATAAAACCTCTTACTTTAAGTATTTGGTCGAATGGTACCTAGATATTCGGTATTCGTGTAATATATTAATAGGATAAAAGTAGCCGAACCGGATACACACATATGGCTGTTAAAATGTACAAATAAGATCACAAGCTTAACATAGAAACATACTTATGTAACATAAAAGTAATGAGACAAACTAGTCTGTGACTCAGCAATGTATGCTTATCTTTTAAAGTTAGAAGAAAAGGAATTAATAATTTTCTGTAGATCTGTAGCACTAACTCTATTAAAATTGAACTCTTTCAATTTTCAAACTGTTTTAAATCAACCCGTTACACAGAATAACTATTTATAAAATGTCTATTAAGTTTTGTGGCATCCAAAATATGTTCAGGAATTGATTTACTAGAACCGCTCTTAATTGTTTTATTAATGTGACGCCACCTTAAGGACGGATTATTAATATTGTTATTTACAAATTGAGTAAACTATGCCTGTTTCTCAACACGAACAGCGCTATTACATAGGTTGCGTATTTCCTGGTAAAATGTATAAGCTGATTCGGAATTACTTACTTTAGCTTATTACGACGACATAGTTCTCATTTCTATAAGAGAAATGGTAATCCATGGAGATGGTGCGTTTTTTTAATTTACCGGAGTAAAAGTATCTACTAAGTCTAAGATAAGAAAGTTGAACAAGTTAACCATTTCATTAAGGTCATTATTATACTCCAGTTTAAATTTCCAAGGAGTGAATGCAGATGCTTTCTTAATATATTCGGCAATATCTGCTAGTGGTCTGTACTGGACGGTACGGGATTTTATATTTGGAACATAAATAGGAAATGTCGCTATTACTAGTCCATGATCACTTAAAAATCATCATTATGTACAACATCTACCGATATGGACTGCAGATTAACTCTAGTAAATATGACATCAATAAGTGTCAAAGTATGCGGCGTTATACGAGTCGGTAAGTTAAAATTTGATGTAGCTTGTAAGTGTCAGTCTGAACTTCAAAACATTTAGGTAGAGTTACAAGATTGTTATGATCTATACAATTTATATTAAATTCACCAACAACACATATGTGCTCGTATTTAGATCCTAGTATTGATAAAGATTCGTGAAGAGTAGTGACGAGGTAAGATGTGCATACCTCAAGACAAAAGTGTAACAGACCAAATTTCGGACATTGGCTGAATTATTGTGACGTAACCACAATATCAAAGGCCGTATTGAAGAAAAAGGATGTGCGTCCAATATTTTATGGTTTTGCAGCTGTCGCGGCGCTGCGTGACGGAGCAGGAGTGCCGCGCCATGCCGCCACCGCAGCCTGCCGAGTCCAGCCAGCCCCCGCCCAACATCCAAGCCTATAAGATCCTCAACAACACCTGCGTCTACATGTGTCCCAGCGGATACATGGAGGTAGCCAATTTACATACGATGACACTCTTACATTGTATACTGCTTTGTAGCTCATTCATTTGTAGTTTTTAACAGTGTATAGCTGGAGGATGTAAGCTTCTCAGAATTTCTGAGGATTTGAAAGCGATTTTTGTGCTAAGAAGATCGCGCCTTTGCTGGTCGCCACTAGTTTAGATATTTTTGATTGTATCTTTAACTACTGTAATCCATTTTAGCTTTTTTTTATAGGTTATGGTTGACAAACGAGCATACAGTCCACCTGATGGTAAGTGGTTGCTGCGGCCCATAGACTTCTACATCTATCCACCATTACAAATCAAAATGTAGATGCGTTGTCACCCGTGAGGACCAAGATGGAATGCCTCATTTCCAGTAAAAAGGGCCTCCGGCCACCTGCACTCACCAAGCGAAACGCAAAGGTAAACCTCTACTTCACGCTGGTGTTCTGTGAGGTCGTGGTACCACCCCGGTTCGAGCCGGCCCATCCGTGCGACAGCAAAAGCTGCCGCGTGGCTCTACCACTGATAAACTTGTTTATTTAGTGTTTCTAGTATAAGAACCATAGCTCTTATTTATCTAAATAGACCCCTATTCTATCAGCCCATCAATTACTTTCCACAGCTTGGTAGATTTGCCATAACCGCCTGATTTGGCACGTTTCATTGCGCCGTCTAAGAATGTGCATAAGTTCGATATCCTCATGCACATCCCTGAGACGCTGTCATACAGATAGCTTGCCTCTAGGAATTTATATTATGTCCCGGAAGCGATTTACATCCTTAAATTGCACACGGACAAACGTCCCGGCCCAAACAACTAAAAGGTCGGAGAAAAAATTTCTTCGTATTTCGTTTGCATAAAATTGAAGAAAAATCTCTTTGGATGTATTATTTGAATCTGGTTGGTTTTAATGTCAATACATATAGGACATTAAGAAAAAGAAAAAGTAAAAAACATTTTCCCGCCATTTTTCAAATGTTTTTCTGTCCGCCAAAATGAGTGAATCTAATGAAGAAATTCGATACATTCTGAAGTTTTATGGCAAAAAAGGGAAAAATGCCACTCAAGCCGCGAAAAGAAATTTAGACCTAATGCAGTGTCAGTAAGAGTAGCACAAAGTTGGTTTAAGCGTTTTCAGTCCGGGAATTTTTATGTCAAAGATGCTCGCTGTGCTTGCCCTCATACGGATATTAGTAGTTAAAACATGGCCGGGGAGTTGAGAATTGACCACAAAATAGTTTTGACCCATTTGAAATAGTCTGGCTGTACAAAAAAAGCTCGATATTTGGGTACCACATGAGCTCACTGAAAGAAACCTAATGAATTGTGTACTCGTTTGCGATTCGCTGTTGAAACGTAATGAAACCGAACCATTTGTGAAAGTGAATCAGCTACGACAAGAACGAGCGAAAAAGATTATGGTCAAAGGGTAGTCACGCTCCACAGACTGTAGCGAAACCCGGATTAACACGCAATAAGGTGATGCTGTGTGTATGGTGGGATTGGAAGGGCATCGTTTATTATGAGCTTATACCGCCGGCCAAAACCATCGATTCGGATCTCTACTGCCAAAAACTAATGAGACTCGAGCAAAAAATGGAAAAAAAACGGCCGGAATTGGTCGACAGAAAAGGAGTGGTCGTTCATCATGATAACGCCAGACCACACTTTGGCCATTTAGCAAAAATTGAGAGTGTTTGGTTGGAAAGTGTTAATGCATCCACCATATAGTCCTGACCTTGCAGCCTCAGATTTTACCTGTTTCGGTCTCTTCAGAATACTTTGGGTAGTTTTAGGTTACCATCAAGAAAGGACTGTTAAAACTACTAATCTTTTTTTTTGTTGATAAAAACATCCCAAGATTTTTACAGCAAAGGGATTATGAAACTACCTACAAGATGGCAACAAGTTATCGAACAAAATGGCACATAATATATATTATAATTGGGTACATGTAATTAATCTTTGGAAAAAAAAAATGTCTTAAATTTGTATATAAAATACGAAGAAACTTTTTCCCGACGTTATATTTACTAATGAGGTATAATAAATAATAATTTGCCGCTCACCAGATGTTATTAGTTGGGAATAAGGTGATGTTATTTGTTACACAGGGTCAAACGTGCAAGTAAAACTTTGCGTTCCAATTTTAAAAAAATCTGTTTCTAGTAGTTCACAAACAATGCCTCTGTTGTTTCTCTTTCATTTTTTTGCACATTTTTTCCAATCTCTTCTTAATTCTTTTACTTTTATGGAAATCCGTAGTTTAGTTTGTTTATTTTAATCTGAATATAACTAATATTTCGGGTGCGGGAATAGAACAGCAACCGCCAAAGTTTAGCCACTTGGAATTGAAACTGTGTGCGCAAGGTGTTAAGGTGTATATTGGTGTGCAGGTGGGCGCGGCGCACAACGGCACGTGCCGGCCGTGCCAGCCGGCGGGCTGCGTGCGCGAGTGCGGCGGCGGCCGCGTGGACTCGGTGGCGGCGGCCGAGCACTTCCGCGGCTGCACGCACCTCAAGGGCTCGCTCGAGATCTCGCTCCGCGCCAGCGCTGGTAATCGCCCCAACATTTATCACATAATAAAGGATAGATTTTGCCACGATTGTTAATCTTTGTCTTCATTGAGTTTTGTTGACCAATAAGAATGTCCTCCAAACGGAATTGCTGTCACGGCGGCCAATCTCAACGGAGACTGACTACCTGCGCGAGACAGGATTATAGTGCACTCTCTATTCCCTCACTGTTATATTCCGATGGGAATCCGAATATAAGAGCGAGTTAATAGAGGGAAATTACGGAGAGAGATCAGGCGCAGGAGCAACGGCTTTACGTGCTTTCCGAGGCGTGCCTCGTGGGGCTGAAACACTGCCAACATGATTCCGAGCTGTTACTGACAATTTCGTGACAGAAAAACTTAATAACTAATTCTTGCTGGCCGGCCCCGGCATTCGTACCCGAGGTCTCATGAACAACAATCTCGTTTACGACTACTTAGCCAACTAAGCATTCAGTATGTATTCATTATCACTACTACTACACACTACATCAAAATTTCACTGCTGAACAAAGATAGCCACAATGTACGCTCCTGAGATACCTGCATCCATTGACTACATATGTACGTGTTTCATCAGGTCGGCACTACATCTAGTGGAGGATCACCCAACACTCTTCTTGCCAGTACGAGACTGTCACTCGAGAACCTTTCTTCATTGTGACGAACAAACACACTATCCACCTGATAGTAAGTGGATACTGCGGCTCATAGACATCTACATCTATCCTCGGTTAATAATCAAAATGCAGATGCGTTCTCACACTTAAAGATTAAGATGGAATGCCTCATTTTCACTTAAAAGCTTCACCCATTCTTCACACTCACCATACAAAGCACAGCAGCATCAAGCGTCTATTTTACGCTGGTATTCTGTGAGAGCGTGGTCCTTCCTCGGTCGAGCTGACCCATTCGTGCACGTAACAAAATAACCTAAAATAAAAAATAACCTCCGTATACAGGCAACACAATGGCGATTCTGGAAGCATCTCTGGGTGAAATCCGCGAAATAGACGGCAGCCTGAAAATAACGCGCTCGTACCCGCTCGTGTCGCTCATGTTCCTCAAGAACCTGCGCCGGATCGGCGGCCACACCAACGATAATAAGTGAGTCTGTAATGTCGCCCATTTACACTTTTTGTTTACTTACATTTATAATAATTGATTAATTAGAATAGAAAAAATATTATATAAAATAATAATAAGTAATATTTAAAAGTTTAATTTTTTTCTGGTTTGGAAAATACCTTTGTCCTGGGAAGAACCAATAACAAACAAAACGGGTATATTATATTATCATATAATAATGTTCATTTATTTTTTTACAATTACATACTTATTTTTATAATTGATTAATTTGTGTCAGGACAGTCGTGTGTGATTCTGAGTACTATGACAATTATTATTATAAAATGGCACATAAAATACGTAAAAAAATATATGTATAAAGTATAAACGCATGAACGAAGCGAGAGAGGTGAGTCAATATCGTCAAATGGAAGTCCGTAGACGAGACGCCTACTCCTCTGGCAGAGTTTACGTATCTGGCAGAATTTATATTATGTATGTTTAAACGTATACATCAGAAACACACGCGTAAAAATTAATTTAATTATTAATAAAATATACGCATTAGATAAGTATATTATGTTAAAACCAAGCAGTAAAGAAAAGAGAAACATGTAAGACACGGTTCGATACACATATTGCAACTTTAGAATTTTCAAAATTAAATATTTTCCTTGTCAACATTATTGTAAGCATATCATTGCTTTTACATATTATAAGCTATAATTAAACGTTGCTGCAGAATGCAGAGCCTGTACATCTTCAACAACCCGAACTTGGAGATGCTGTGGGACTGGTCGACACATAAACCGATCGAGATAACTCGCGGCAAACTGTTTATTCACTTCAACCCGAAGCTCTGCTACAACCAGATCCTGCCGCTCAAGAACATGACGCGCGACCCGATATCCACGTTCGACCAAATTGAGGTGTCCATCGACAACAATGGCGATCAGGCTTCATGTATGTACAAATATTTTTGTATTTAGTAAGTTAAAATTTCATTATTTTGACCATTGTTAAACGATATGGTAATAATAATTTATTTATTTTGACCGTTATTTAGACATGATGCAAATTGACGATCGCAGAACAAAACCCCATGTAGTTCTGGGTATTTTACCACCTGGCATCAACCGGATGGTCATACCGTATTCGGAGTCGATGAGATATTTCTGGTCCTACTTACGAGTATAGCCAACTTACAATACGCACAGGACTAAATGGACTGATGGATTTTTTTACGCCTCCACTACAAGGTTACAAACTATTAAACGGATTTAAATCTTATAGTATAGAACATCAGACATACATATATGTAATAATTTAACTAAAAATATTTGCAACATGTTTTTTTTTTCGCATTTATTTATCGCTTTACGAAATTGGTACATTATAAATGACACCGATAAAATCACTAATGTTCGTACAAGGTATTAACATAATTTTTTTTTACATAATATAAAATATTAGAAATATAAGCATGTTTGCGTTTAGAATTATAAAAATAGTGACCCGCCCCGGCTTAGCACTGGTGATTTCTGGATCTCGACAACAGCGCCACACACCTGGTCCAATTGTGAATCTAAACCATCCAGGGACCTGCTGAAACATACAAAAAATTTCATCGAAATTGGTCGAGTCATTTTCGAGTTTTTTAACCGACAATTTATTAATATATATCTATAATATAAAAATGTATCGCCAAATGTGTTGCTAAGCGCAAATCTCGAGAGTAGCTGAACCGATTTCGTTAATTTTTTTTTTAATAATATTTCTTGAAGTACCAAGATGGTTCTTACGGAGAGAAAAATTTAAAAAATTGCTTGAAAAAATAAAAAAAAACACTTTTCTATATTCCCAAACAAAAAATTCGTAACAATACTTAAAAGTCAATTTGAACTTTAATACCATACCATAAAGTTTAAGTGTTAGTAGAGGGGTTCCGGGAAGGCAAAACAATTGAGTGACGTTAGTATCATATAAATAAATATTAATGTCGATATTTATACACATTGGCAGATAGCTGATGTTGTAAGGAGTAACTTGGGCTACTTTTATTTTAGGGTTCCGCGAAAAATAACTCCACGCGGGCGAAGTCAGCCCAGAATGGCTAGCTTGGCTTTTATTTTCCCATACTTAATTGAATTTCTAGCACATTAACATGGCAAGAATGGTGCCTACATAAGCGCTGTCACTCAAATCAGCCTGCGTAGTAGCGCGTTGTTTGCGAAGTGGGTAACATAATATTTTCGTACATCGATATCGTCTCAGCAATATTTGTGTACACGAGGTTAGGAGGTTGCTTGTTACTACAGTAACATTATCTTCCGCTCACTTGTCGTGTCAATCAGGATTCCTTCTCACTTAGGCTTTTTACCTATATATGGTTTATATTTCTTATATTATATGCTTTATTATATTCTTCTAATATGTTTTATTATTAGAGAAACCTTGGAAAATAATTGCTCCTGTAATTTTAATCTCTCGTAAATTCTCTAGAAAAGCCAAGAATTTGTTGCAAGAATAATTATATACGAGTATGTGATGTTCTATTACTTACTTAAATTCTATTTGTTGAAACCATTTCTATTGGTCTTATAATGCATAATTTAAAATTTAACTTCAATATAAATTATTAAGAATAACTCAAAAACTATTGTTCAGACCTTGATAAAATTTATATGGGACCACATGTGAAGCACCGGCTTTCAAATAAAAAAAGAATCATCGAATTCGGTTCACCCAGTAAAAAGTTACGAGGTAACACACATAAAAAAACATACAGTCGAATTGAGTACCGGCTCCTTTTTGAAGTCGGTAGATAAAATATAGGATACATAAAGAGGAATACGGCGGCAGAGGCCGCGGGTTGGTTTTAGAATCGTTTGGCACGAATTTGGCGAAGTAAGGTGTTTTATTTGGTAGAGATTTGGTCCCCGATTATAATAATACCACTCACATTAAAAGGTAATGCACAGGTATCGAAAAAATAAATAAAAACTATTATAACCTAAAATGCGTAAAACATGGAAAAATTACTGTGAAAGCTGGATAGCATACAGAATTTTGTGTAAGTGCGACAAGGACGTAAGACTAGTGTCATATTATTCTACTGTCTATACTCTCTGTCAAGAGATATTACGCTAAAGAGAACTATAATAATAGAGAAAATTTTACCGACTTGATATATGAATATTTATGGAGAAGAGAAATTATAAGGAATAAAAGAGATCCTTTTGAGGAGTTAATAAAAAAAATTATGTTTACAGACAATAAAGAAGTGATTATAATATACTGTTTTATTTCTGAATTGTTTAAAACTGCCCAAAAATACTTGAACACCCAGAAATAATTTCAGTTGTAATAGGTTAGAAGGTTGTGGCAAAAGCAAAGGCAACCTGACTTTATAGATAAGATATCTAATCTGATCGAATCTGTACTAAAATTAAACCAGCACGCCCCGACCCCACGTAGTCTTGTCTGCCCTACTCCTAGAGTGTTTTTGTAAAGCCGTAGGCGCAGAGGGAGAGCAGCCAGCTGCGGAGGTGAGCATTGGTGCCTGTGATTCGCTACGCAAAGGCGAAGGGGCTGCACTTCCCGCAGCGCCGAAGCCGTTGTAGAAGTAACTTTGGGTCAATATTCCTGTGTAAAAAAGTGAGGTTATGATTTTACAAAAAAAAAAACATTACTCATAAACTATACTTTTCCGCAACGAGGGAAAGGTAGAGGGGCTTTCCCTGATAGGGCACACTCCTGCTACCCTCTTCCCCACTCCTGCCGGAGACGATAAATGTTACTTTCAGGTTAGGTCTATGGGATTTTCTCAAGAACGGTGTATTACCTTTTAATGGGAGTGGTGTTGGTGTCGGGAGTAAGAGGACGCTACCCCCTTCCCCTCCCCTTAAACTCTTCCCCCTCCTCCTGCCAAACGATTCTAAATTTCAACCGAGGCCGCATTTCATCATTTTGTTTAATTAACTTGGTCGACAAGTATCAAAGACGTATAGTTGTTCACGCCCCTTGATAACTTACAATTACACAAAAAACATATTTTTTCCTTGATTGATCAAATTATACAGTAGCAGTACATATTGAGAAATATTTTTAACGCAGGTTTTCAAGATGTGCTGGAACTGAAGGTGAGCACTCTACGTCGGCGCGCAGTGATCCTGACGTGGAACATGTACTGCTCGGAGGATATCCGCAAGATGCTCGGCTACTCCATCTACTATATTGCTGCCGAGCACAACGTCACGCTATACGGCCAGCGGGATGCCTGCTCTGACACGTGCGTAGTTTGTATTTATCCTTAGTTTACACTAATAAACTAGGAAATTTTTACATTTTTAGCAATTAGTTTTCGAAATATCAGGGTTCAAAGTAGCCTACAGTCTGTGTTTCCAATTATTACCTCTTTTGATTTTAGATTTAGAAAAAATAAAATGGAAGTCAGTCAGATTATATATGGCTAGAACTAACAATATTAGGCCGACGTGGGACACGTTTGCCGATCTAGACGTGTCTGAAGCTCATATATTTTATATGGCGATGAGTAATTATGTAAAACTACATTAGATCCTTGTTACACGACGCAATGCTACGTGTATGAGATGCTATACGTCATTCAGAGAGCGTCGAATGGCGAGTTTAGTTGCCGACGCGAAAATCAAAGAAAATTACGAAGGTGAAAGAATAAAATACATGAAATAACGAGCTTCATCTTCTTCTAAATATTTTCGCATATGGTATTCAACAACAACTATTGTGAACCAGAGCTTTCTTTTCGTATTTTTCTCCTCAATACTCTTAAGCAATTTAAATCTAATAATTTAAAATTAATAATTTTACACAACCGGCTTCAATATAAATTATTAATAATAACTCAAAAATTATTGGATCAGACCTTGATCAAATTTATATGGGACCACATGTGAAGCACCAGCTTTTAAATAAAAAAAAGAATCATCGAAATCGGTTCACCCAGTAAAAAGTTATGAGGTAACACATAAAAAAAAGGAGAGTAGCCCTTTTCAATGCTTCTGGGCGCACTAGTGTAAACAACCAACGCAACCGCTAGTGTAAACTTTGACGCTAGCTAGTGTGTTCATTTTCCATATAGGTGCGTCACGCGCTCGCGCCAATGAGTGCTCGGCAGCAATCAATACGCAACGAATGATGTATATTCATCTTTTTCTAACGATAGGTATGCCGTATCATATGTTTCTTTTTGTTAGCGCAACGTGTCATAATAAATAACTGTACGTAGATATAGTACTACCTGCGCCACTTTAAAATACAATAATGTTAGTGTGTAACCTGTTTATCTCTTTTAATACGTCTTTGTTCAAAACTGGCTTCACGCAGTTCTCACCGGGCGGCTAGGCGTCGTACGCGCGCCCAGCCAAGTATTGAATTATTTTAATTTTAAATTATCTCTTAAACTATGCGTCCAAATAACATGGTATAAAGAACAAAGTTTATCTTCATAAAATTGTCTTGATGATGAAGTAACTTTCGTTCGTAAGGATAAATAGGCCATGCCTAATAATAACGCTTATAAATCACTTTTTAATTTTCAATATGTTTTTGTCACAAAATACCTAATACCCGAACTTTTTTTTAGACGATGTAAAGATCTATATTTTTCTAGAACATTGTATTTACGTATCCCTAACCATAACACCAGCGTACGCGGATAAATCATTTCGGGAGCGCTTTTTCTTCTGACTTGCTTAACAAATATCCATATTTAAGGTTAGCTGAGTAATATAGCTTAATGCGAGATAGGCTATATTATTCCACATGAATCTGGCTATAATATACAAAAAGAATTTTTCAAATCTGACTGGTAGTTCCAGAGATTAGCGCGTTTAAGCAAACAAAAAAACAAACAAACCCTTCCGCTTTATTATATTAAAAAGTATAGATATAGATTATATAAGTTAGCAAAATACTACAATACTAAACATAAATTGTTACCGACATGCGACTGTCACCAAAATATAGAACATTGTTAATGTAATTAATAGATATCATCAACTTCTTTTTTTTTAAAAAGCTGAGTAAAAACAAATAATTGTCAGTCCAAGCATGTTTAGAAAGTAGCTATTGTTCTTTGGACTTTGCAAAATTTAACTCATTACTACGTGTTCATTTCATGAATGCCGCGCTCTCTCATACTGTGCCTCCAGCGTCGCCCTTATAGTAGGTACCGACAGCAACACTGAAATGTAACTACATCCTTTGTTTGTGCTCCCGTGCGATCTCTAGTTTGTTACTGTTTTTGTTCTTGTTTTTTTTGATTCCCGTGACTTTTTACGTTCGTTAATTTGTGATAAACGGAATGGACATTACATTTGGCAGTGATACAGAAACGAACGATTTCAATAAAATAACTGGTATCGAAGTTATGGATGCGTAAATATCTACCTACCAGTTTTCGTCGCCTTCGTACATAATTCATTTAAAATGTGCGATATAACTATAATATTTTTTTTAAACGTAACCTCCACACTAGGATTTTCTCCTGTATCGTGGGCTTACAAACATAAATTGCACAAGGACAAACTTCCAGACCCGGAACAAAATTGTAGGCCATACAAATACTTGTTCCGTACGGGATTCGACCCCGCGGCTCTTAGCGCTGCAACTCTATTGCTAAGCTACTGGGCCATGGAGCCGTCGGTAATAAAAATATAATAAAAATATTTTATTTTACGTTTCTATTCAGTGTTATTATTTTACTTTACTAACTAAATAAGTTATTCAATAATATGCATTTTATCTACTTGCTTGCCCTTCATTTCTCTGTACAGGGCAACAAACTAAAAGTCGAATTAAAACACAGTAATAGTTTTGTCTACGGTACCGTCAGCTGTGACGTCATAACGGTCGACGACGGCAAACTCAAAATGAACGCGTAGTATAATAATTTCCTACTCGGCAGTTAGTGAAAGTAATTCTATTAACATATTCACGCTATATTATGGTTGTAGCAACAATGGGTTGGCTCGACCGGGGAAGCACCACGCTCTCACAGAATACCAGCTTAACACTGCTATGTTTCGTATGGTGAGTGTAGAGAACTGGAGACCCGTTTTACTGGAAAGGAGGCATTCTATCTTAGTCCTCGGGAGTGACAACGCATCTATATTTTGATTCTTAATCGAGGGTGAATGTAGATGTCTATGGGCCACAGCATCCACTTACCACCAGGTGGACTATGTGCTCGTTTGTCACCCTTATTTTATAAAAAAATATATCTGAACAAGGGTCTCCCAACATGAGTTCGTTGTAATATGTACTTTGCAGTAGAAGATATCGATATCAACACGACGTGGCGATCGAACATCATTAATACGTACATGACTGATATGTGGATCGTTATTGTGTGCAGGTGGAACGTACTGGACATAACGATGGACGACGTGCGCAGCAACGTGTCGAAGCCGACGCCCAGCGCGAAGAACAGGCTGGTCAACCCGTGCAACAACCTGCAGCCGCACTTCTACCCGCTCACGCAGCTCACGCCCTTTACGCGATACGCCGCCTACGTCAAGACCTACACCACGCTCCAGGACAAGAAGGGCGCGCAGAGCCCCATCATCTACTTCAAGACCCTACCCGATTGTAAGCGTGAACTTTCGTCTTACCAATATTTTGAATCCATTGCTGTTTCCTCAAAAAGAGCACAATACCGATGCGATGTACTGATTTTACATTTGATAGTGAGATTTTACACGTTGCAGCTATATTATAATTTTAATACGAAACTATAGTATAGCTGCAGCGCTCTCACGGAATACCAGAGTAAAATAGTAGCATAATGATGCTGTGTTCCTGATTTTTAGAGAGAGAGGGAAAGAGAGAGAAAGAGAGAAAGAAAGAAAGAAAGAGAGAAATAGAAAGAAAGACAGAAATAGAGAGAGAGAAAGAGAGAGAGAAAGAGAGAGAGAGAAAGAGAGAGAGAGAACCCATCTTACCACACTGCCCTTGGCGGTTAAGTAAATCCAAGACAATGTACTCCAAGACAAGTCCAAGACAATGACAATCGCACTTGTCTTTTTGTGTTTTTCCCATTTCCAGAATTAATTTTACGTCTAAACGAGCTTTAAGCAAGTCTAAAGTAAATATTTTTGGCTTCAATATCATCAGTGTGAGAGGTTGGTTCTAAATATTTAGTCATCAAACTCAAAGCATTGTTGCATGCACATTGAAAAAGTGGACGAGTTAAATTAAATAGACTCTCGCTTGAAGATTTGATAGATATCGACGCGTTTGCTCGCATTATGTTGATTGCAATATCACATCTTCCACCTTTACATCCCGTCGCCGGTTTAAATTGTTACATAACGTGTACAAATGTTTATAATCTGTTTTAAATAAATAGTGTGCATGTATTACAACTACTGGATTTTATATATAATGTTTTTACCTTGCAGCTCCAAGCCCACCGTTGGGGCTGACAGTGGAGCTTCGCACTGCTCACTCTGTGCAGATTAGCTGGATGCCGCCGGCCATGCCGAACGGCACCATTTCTATTTACCACGTGGAGATCCAGGCCAACAGCTACAACCGACCCACTATACTCGCGGATAACCTCAACTACTGTAACAATCGTATGTATTAATTTAATAATGAAAAATGAAAAAAAATCAAATCAATGAAATTTAAAATAAAAATTAAGAAATCTTTTAATAGTGTATCATCATCATCATTCATTACAGTCTGTTAAAGTCCACTGCTGAACTTAGAACTTACCAAAAATTGCCTCACAAGGGGGATATTTACAAACCGCAATTTTTTTTTCTAGTTGTTATAAGGAAAAAGCTGCTGCCTTTCTCCTGGTTTGAGTCCCTCTGTCGCCTCTTATAACACCCACGAGGCGATATTTGGTAGTAGAAATAGGGTATTTTACACCATGTGAAAAAATCGTAAAATATATATTTATGATAGATTTTGTAAAAAGAAAACGAGAAATATTGATTTCTATGTATGAAAATGCATTATAAATTTTATGTTTCAATTTTAAGAATACTTTTTTTATCTGTGCCTCAAATCTGCAAAACGCTGTCCGCCATATTAGATACAGTCGTGACGTCACTGGTTAAAAGAACTAGTTAATATGCTGTGTTATTTCGAAATTTCTGAAGTTATCATTACGATTGTTGAGTTTTATTTCGAATTTCATTGAAAAGGAATCATGAAAGACTGATTCGTAAAAGCAGAAAGTACTAATATTTATTCTATTAATTCGAATTCGTTTAACAGAACCCATAATCTTATATTGTGTGTAATTTTCCATGTCATAATCCAGCTAAAACATGCAATAATCTTTATGAAATTTGAAATCAAAGCGAGTTTATTACTTTGCTTTCAGCACTAATGTTATAAATATTATAATATAAGCTTAGGTAAAAAAAACTTTTTGTTATATTTTTTTGTACAAACCATGTCATTATTTCCATATAATTGAAGAAAACATGAATTAAGTGAAACACTGCACTTACACTTGCAAATGCTGTCAAAATGGCCCACAAAGGGCGGGACAGATGAGCGATTTACCTAATGTATTACAAAAATGGCACTATTCGGTTTTAAAAATTTATATAAAAATTATAGTGGTTCATTATTACGCTAGGATTCATTTAAACACTTTTTGAAAATGGGTGTAATACCCTATTCTAAAACCATCACTCCACGGTATAATATTAATAGTGTATCAATACAAAAAAATAAAATTGAAGTGTCTGTTTGTAATATCAAAATAACAGCGTTTTACTAAATACATATGAAATATACGGTATATACGGTACTTATAACAAAAACACAATTTTTAAAATTTTTGTGTCTATTTGTTTCGGCTAATCTCCGAAAAAGCTAGACAGATTTCGACGGGACTTTCACTGGCAGATAGCTGATGTTATATGGTGCGGTAACTTGGGCTACTTATATTTTAGAAAAAGAATTAGGGTTCCGCGCCACATAATTGAAACCCTAAATTACATGCGGGCGAAGTCGCAGGGAACAGCTAGTAATCAAATATAATATGAAATTTTTAATATAAAAGTTATAAAAGAAATGGTTGACTATTTTATATGTTTGGTAAAATGGATTCATAGTTCAGTAAACTTATAGATTCTATGACAATATTTGCAACTTTTACACTTTGTTAATCTGTTAGTTCATTTCATTTCAATTGATTGCTAATAGTGTCCAGTAACAGTTAGTATGTCATTATTTTTATTTATATAATGTATGATTACTGAAACAAAATAATTTTCAAGCTTTCATCATCAGTGTAATAAAAAATAATGACATAACAAAACATTATTTTAAGATATTGATACTAGTCGGTGGAATATTTTAAAGACTTACATAAAAGTGCATGTTCTATTTTTATAAGGGAAAGCAGTAGTGATGATTATAATGACAATGATGACTACTCAGATAATGATGCGAAGATGAGCGAAATTCAGTTTAATAATTTTTTGTTTATGGTTCTTTTGTAAATCTCTATAATATGTAAAAATCAATTGCTGTCCGTTAGTTTCGCGAAAGTTCGAAAATGGCTGGACCGATTTGGATGAAATTTGTTTTGTGTTTGAGTGAATCCCTAGATAATCTAAACGATTTAGAATTGTACCTGATAGGTGACGCTGCTGTCGAGAGCCAGAAATCGCCCGTGCGAAGCCGGGGCGGATCGCTAGTAAATATTATTTCAAAAATATCTGTTTTGTTAACCCTACCTAACTGGTTTGAATTGACAGCTATGACGTCATAATATGGTGCCAGGTGTTTAAAAAAATTCCACCGGGTCCTTTGCTAATACTTTCCAGGATATAGCTTTTCTCTGGACCAATGGTGAAGCTTAAATTACTTTGAATAAGTATTCCTGTAATCTACATTGAATAAAAATTATTCTATTCTGGGACCATTAAGAAATTTACAACTTACGAATCGTTTTAACCGAATATGTGTGGTCCGGCAGCGAGCGCGCTTTCGAACATGATAACGGTGCGCAACGAGGAGGTAGCGGAGAGTGCGGAGGGTGGTGAGGGCGCGGGGAGTGCGGTGGCGGCTTCGGGCGCGGGGGGTGCGGGCGCGGGCGCGGAGGGTGAGGTGGGCGGAACTTGCGCGTGCGCGCCGCGCCCCGCCTCGCGCTTCAGCTCGCGCGCCGAGCAGGACCGCATCGAGAGCATCAACTTCGAGAACGAACTGCAGAACCACGTGAGAATGTTTATTCTTTTCTTTTATGCCAGTAAAATTAATTCATTTACTATAATTTGCGTTTTCGTATTCTTCTCCTTAGCCCGGTATTCAGTGACACTCTCGAGTATAAACTCTAAACTCCATAATGTAAAATTTTAACCCAAAACCATTCTAGGTTTAGAACTATTTTTCTACCTTACCGGCCTGTAAGTCTGGGTAGGTAGATACCAACTTCAAAATTATTTAAGTTCTTTTTACGTGAACTAATAATTAACGACTTGAATTTGACAATAGCCGTGGTTAACTATGATATTCGAACGTTAAACACGCCAGTCCCCGGTTACCGGGTGCTGCAAAGTACTCAAAATATTAGGAAAATTAAAATAATTCAATTAATCGTGACACGATCCATAAAAAAACTACCTTCATTTTATGTACCATCCTTTTACATATTTCTGCCGACAAATAGCAGTGCTTTCATTACTTTGTGGTATGAATGGTATTAAGAACAAGATTAATAACAGGCTAGAAGATCCATCTAAGTCTTAAGAGTTGACAATGCATATATAGTCTCACTTTTTTCAAGTTGGCTGCAGGTGTCAATTAACTGCAATAGCCACTTACCATCGGGTGGACTGTTTGTCAATTTGTCACATCACTTTCATTAAAAAACAACTATGTAACACTTATTTTTACATTTTTTTTTTCAATTTAAACACAAGATTCAGCGCGCACTAAGCGATTGCTTGCTGGTCGGTTAGATCAATGCAAAAAGAATTTTAAACAAATACACACAGAAATAAATACTGTGTGCATTCATTATTATTTAAGACTAGTGATCAAATCCTCAGTAGCCTGCTTCGAAAAGGCATTATTTTTTCTGAAACCATAAAGATTTCATCCGTTTCGCGAAATCAGGTTTCCCGTCACCGATCTGAGTATAATAATATAAACGAGATGGTTATGTATCGGAAGCCATTAGATTTCTTTGCCATATCCATAGCCTCTTCTTAGGACTCCCACGGTATGAAATAAATTATCATAAGCAGTCACGTTTCTTTGATGTTTGTTGTTGTATTGAACTATATACAATATCATCAGTTGAATTTGAACACCTGATTGAAAATAAGCGAAAGGCGTAGTGTTGACGAGGAAGCTTAAACGATTGAATGATTTAACGACGGTGGTCACAAATCATGAGAATATCTTTAGAATATTGACTTTTCTTACTCACTACCTGGATACGCCTACAATTTTTTTGTTGTTTTTAAATTTTATTCTTACTTTTCGGCGTATCTCGTCGAGATCTATTCGAATCGTGACGCCGTAGGAACCGTAGTTCTTATATAATAATTTATTAACAATAAATTCCTTTTATCAGGTTTACGTCAAGACTGATAGAAACAAATCTCCTAAATCGAGTAGCATCAGAATAAAACGGGCCATAGACAAACAGCTGAACAGCATGCTGGTCATACTCAGCGGATACAATAAGCCCGAGCAAGGCTTAAAGTATTTCAACGCTACCGACACGGAAGGTAATAATGCTCTGGAAAAAATAGTAGTCAATCCTGTAATCAGCCATTATATTTTAACACACTGATATTAACGCCATCTCTCCGCTAATTTGTCTATGCTTACCCTCATTATGCTTATAAGCATCACCGCCCTCATCACATCCATCTCAACATTCTAATTTCAGTCAAGTGCGGTCGCATCGAGCCTAACGCTTGCATCATTAAGGACAATACTACAGGTTACAAATTAGATATTTTCTTGTAATCCCTGATAAGGATTTTTGCATGATGTTAGTGAAGCTGTATATTTAGTTTATAATATTTCGTTAATTACTCTAGCATGGTTGTTAGTAGGTTGTAGATAGAATTCGTTATTCACTTTGCATGTTCCTCAATAGTCTTATAATTAATATACCCCCTCACACAATGTCATTTAAAATAAAACACGTTTGCATGTTGCGGTCACTTATTTCATTATATGGAAAATGTGTACCATCGACTTAGCTTATTGCCTAATTAAGAAAAATATAAACATATCTTAATAAAAAAAGTTTTGATAGATGTTGAAATGAAATAAAGTGGAATGTTTATTCGAACGAAATTCTTTCTTCATTTGTATCGTGTGTTTTTCATCGGTGTTAAAACTAATATTGTATAGGGTCTGTCATGTGTGTGATGTCGCCATCACCACAAAATCATTTTATCATACATAAGGAATGAGCGGTATTATATGCCCAGTCGTGAACTGTAACACTGCCTAGACAAGCTTTACAAGAAATCTTGAAGCGGAAACGCTAACGACTACGCTTTGACCATGATCTTTTTCGCACGTTTTTGTCCTAGGTGATCCACTGTTCATCACCAGTAATCAATCTTCTAAAATGGTTCGGTTTCATTACGTTTGAATCATCATCATCATTATCATTACAGCCCTTCACAAGTCTACTGCTGAACATAGGCCTCCTCTAAGGAATGCCACAAAGCACGGTCCTGAGCCACTTGCATCCATCAACTTCCTGCGTGTCTTACCAGGTCGTCACTTCTGTGGGGGGACGCCCTGCACTTCGTCCGCCGGTACGGAGCTGCAACTCGAGAATCTTTTTACCCATCGGTTGTCGGTTCTTCGAGCTATATGGCCGACTCATTGCCACGTCAGCGTCAGCGTACTAATCCGTTGGGCTATGTCGGTCACTCTGCTTCAACTGCTGATATCCTAATTTCTAAGTTTATCACGCAGAGAAACTCCGAACATAGTCCTCTCCATAGCTCGCTGAGGACCTTGAGCTTCCTCATTCGGCCAGCAGTGAAGGACCACGTCTCGGTTCCAGAGGTCATCACTGGTAACATGCACTGGTTGTACAGTCTTGTTTTCAAGTTTAGAGACGAGAAGATGTGCTGTAATTTCCCGAACGCTGCCCAGCCGAGTTGAATCCGTCGATTGATCTCTCACTCGAAGTTGGGCTTACCTTAGTCAGACTATTTGTCCTAGGTAAACATACTCGTCAACGACTTCGAGCTTAGTGCTCCCAACAACTACCGGCATGGGTACTTCATACACAATCTTTGTTTTGTCCATGTTAATCTTAAGAACTATCCGTTGGGAGGCACTATTGAGGTCATTGAGCATAGTGCTTAGGTTCTCCAGCGATTCTACCATAAGGCCTATATCTAGGGCAAATCGAAGGTGAGTGATGTACTCGCCGTTGATGTTAATACCGTATCCTTTCCAGTCCAGAAGCTTGAAAAGGTATTCCAATGCAACGGTGAAGAGTTTTGGGGATATAACGTCACCCTGTCTTACACCTCTCTGCAATTGGATACGTTTCGTACTCTGGTTCTGTACTCGGATAGCCATCGTAGCCCTACTGTACAAGCACTTCAGCACTTCGATATATCTATAGTCAACTTGGCACCGCTGGAGGGACTGCAGTACCGCCCAAATTTCGACGGAATCAAAGGTTTTCTCATAGTCCACATACGCCAGGCATAGTGGCAAATTGTACTCCTCGGACTTCTGACTTCAGCCGAAGGGTATGTATGTGGTCCATGGTCCAATGCTAAAACCTTTTCAGAAACCGGCTTGTTCGGGAAGCTGGAAGTCGTCGAGTTTGCATGCTGGACGATTCGTAATGACTCGAAAACAGCACATAGACGCGACTCAGAAGGGAAATCGGTCTGTAGTTCTTCGAGAGAGCGTTGTCGCCATTCTTAAAGAACAAGACCACTGCACTTCTGCTTCACGCCTCCGGTGTAGTGCCACCATAGAGGATGGAATTAAAGAGCTTCTAAAGGACTTCAAGTACTGGTTTTCCACCCGCTTTCAGAAGCTCCGCTGTAATTCCATCCGCGCCTGGGGTATTGCTGTTTAAGGTGCTGGAAAGCCATTCTAATATCGCTCAGACTGACGTCCGGAATAACATCGGAATAGTGTCGGATAAGACTTGCTCTCGGATCTTTACTTAACTTGCGTGTGGCTCCAAGGATGATGCCTCTGAATCTCACTCAAAATCTAAGGTGTCCCGGAAACGACACTACCGCACTCGGTCTTCAGCTTCGACAATTGGCTCTTTCTGCCAGACAGACCTCTGGCAAAGATTGGAGCCCTGGCTTCAATCTTTGCTCAATCCTGGCTCAATCGCTTCTTCAATACGAGTACTATTAAAGTTGCGTAAGTCCCACCGCATGCATTTGGAGATATCTGTTCAGTTGCCTGTATAATGTCAAATCTACTGAAGACTGCAGCTGCATTTCCCGTCTAACAGCCATGAGATTAAGAGTGTGAGCGGAGAGTTTGTGTTCTTCTGCGGCGCGTGTTGCAAAAATTAGCTCCGACCGTATGGACAGTTTCCAAGAGCTTGTCATTCACATCGTCCACTGCATTGTAATCTTCTAGGCACTGAAAATGGTTTTGTAGCTCGAGCTGTAAGGTTTCGGGACTTTGGATTTGGAGGGGGACGGAACGTTGACTTCATTAGACGTGACCTCTCCAACTTAACATTTAGGTTCAGTGTGCCTCTCACCATTCGGTGATCACTGCCGGTTGTCACCCTCGCTATAACTGAGACATCACTGAACAGTTGTCGTATGGTCGTTATAAAGAAGTCAATCCCATTTTGTGTCGAACCGTCGGGACTCGACCAGGTCTACTTCCTGTGGGACCGCTTTCGGAAGAAAGAGTTCATTATAAAAAGTATCTCTTTCTCTATGAAGTCGGCCAGCTGTTGGCCCCTTGGGTTCCGTTGGCCTATTCCTAATCTCCCTACCTTCAGCTCACCGTTCTCTATTGTGCCTAGTTTTGCGTTGAACTCTCCCATTAACACCGTATAGTGGGTTTTGGAGGAATGCATAGCTCTAGAGATATCCTCATACATTTCCTCCACCTCCTCATCGGCATGTGCCGAGGTTGATGCCTAAACCTGTATGATCTTCAGCGAATAACGTTTGGTGATTCTGAGTATAAGGTACGCAACCCTCGTCGACACACTCCTAATCGTTACAACGTTGTTAACGAGAGACTTGTGGACGATAAATCTGACACCTCCTTGGGACAGATGGACGCCCTCCTAGTGATAGAACAATATGCCGGATTCGAGGATTACCGTGTCCTCCCCCTCTTTTCGGATAATCCTATAATATTCCAGCGCAACTTGTCTATCTCTTCTTCAGCCTCCAGGATCTTCTCTTCAGTCCTCAGGGTGCGTGCGTTATAAGTTGCCAGATCGAGTCGTCGTAGGTGGCAATCGAACCTCCACCGGATATTCTTAGCACCTCCTGCCCCGCCGTTACAATGGTCGCCACTGTAGCCAGGAATAGCGGGGCCGCCGGGGACTAGGGGCCGTTTATTAGTGTCATTGCTCATGGGGGGTATATTGCCATAGTTACCACGCTTGGCGAGCGGGTTGGCAACCGCAATTTATTCATTGTTGTTTTGTTGTTATCAGAAAGATGCTGCTGGCCATCTTCTGCCTTTGATTTGTCTCAATTCCTCGGCTACATATGTCGTAACTACTAATATGCCGATCTTGTTTAACTTTTTCAAAAATGGCATCGACTTTATCAGTTTGAGGGCGACTAGAGCGAGCTGCATCTTTGACATCAAAATTCTCGGACTGAAAATTCTTGAACAAACTTTGTGCTACTCTGACTGATACTACATTAGTTCTATCGCATTTTTCCCTTTTTTGTAAGAAAACTTCAGAATGTATCTAATTTCGTCGATAGATTCAGTCATTTTGGCGGACAGAAAAACAATTGAAACGTGGTGGGAAAGTGTTTTTTACTTTTTAATTTTATTGTCTTAATGTCCTATATATTGATATTAAAACCAGCCAGATACAAACAGTACGACCAAAGAGATTTGTCAAATATACAAACAAAATACGAAAAAAGTTTCCCCGGCCTATTATTTTGTAGAATATTGTTTTATCATCTGTAATTGTTTCTATTAACTGCCAACCCATCCTTCTATATTCGTTATTCATAAAGTATTTTGTTGGACGTTGAACGGCAATACGAACTACGCAAGTAACTAGGCTTTAATTATAACTAACAAACAGTGATTTCATTGTAGGTAATTAGTGCAAATTAAACTTTACTTTCAAATAAATTACATTGCCAGGGTACGTGAAGTCACTTTACTACGAGCTGGACGGCAACACGCGGTCATTATTGGTAGAAAATATGCGCCATTTTACCTGGTACACTGTCAACCTGTGGGCGTGTCGTGAAAAGCAGGATTACGAGCCTCTCGACAACTACAAGGAAACTTGGTGCTCTGGGCGAACCTTTAACACTTTCCGGACTTTAGAGCTGCGTAAGTGCTGATTCATCTATAACCTTTATATAATGGACATCTCATTAATCAGCTTGAAACATGACCATAACATAACTTTTGCATATTTATAATCTGGTCCTTCACAACTGGATAGCAATACATTTTTTTTAATATAACTTTTATAACGGTTCAATATAAAATTAGTAAATACAAATTTTGAACAGTATCTTTCTCTAAAGATCTCTTTAGATTTACCTACGTTTGAGTTCATTATTACATTACTAAACGTACATTATTTTGTAATACAGTTATTATGTATTTTATATACAATTATGTTTAACCTTTTGTTGTCTACAGCAAATGCCGACGTAGTAAAAGATGTTCGCGCTGAAGTGATAGTCTCAAACAAAACCTTACCCGAAGTAAACGTAACTTGGAAGCCACCAGAAAACCCAAATGGATTCGTAGTTGCATACAATGTGCATCACTCGCGTATTGAAGACAACAGCGAGGTTTGTATTTAATTTTAAGAATAATAATTAATAAGCTTAATTTTTATTAAGAATAAAGTTTACTTATATGTTTATAATAAATAAAACTAAAACTTAATACTAAGGTTGTTCATAGCACTTAAGGTATGTAGTTGGAAAACTTTATCACCGGGCACTAACAATGTTGGTTTAAGCGAGTTATTTGGGCGATTTTCAATGATATTTTTCATTAATCTAATGCGGCTAAAAAAACGTTAGAAGTGTTTAATATGTACATTGTTAGTTTTTTACCCAACTGCCACGGAAGGGTTGATGTTTTATTTTTCGCGCGTAACTTGTATGTACAGTCCGTACGGATAAAGAATGCGATTAGAATTGGCGGCTCATCGAGCCCGTACCGTCAACATGCACACTACCAATAGCGAAAACCCGCGAATAACGGTTTATCGTTATAACGTTATGTTATTCCGTTAATTTGAAATTTTCTATTGATAGGAAAATAATTGAATATAATTGAATACGCAAGTAGGTACATTAATTTTAAAATAACATTTAAAACTAGCGACCCTCTCTGGCTTTGCCTAGGTGGGATCTAATAACGTGGCGTTATTTGGACTTAAGATATCATTAAATTTATTAGACTTAAGATATTCATTAATTACCCTTTATTTTATCTTATCAATATTTCTATTTTAGTAAAATTTATAAATTTGTCGGATAAAATTTAGTCTAGATCACTCCTGGTATTACTATCTATTTTCTACCGACTTCAAAAAGGAGGAGGTACTCAATTCGACTTTATGTTTTTTCTTTTTTTATTAGTGTTACCTTATAACTTTTTTCTGGGTGAACTGACTTGATGATTTTTTTTATTTGAAAGCTGGTGCTTCTCGTGTGGTCCCATATAAATTTGATCAAGGTCAGACCAAAATGTTTTTGATTTTTTTTTGCGCCCGAAGCAATTGGAAAAGGACTACCCTTTACGTAGGGAGGCGGAAAATGCATTACGCATACCACGATAGGCTATCCATCGTGGCTATGGGGGACTCACGCCTACCGGAGAGCCTAAGTGATACCCCCTAAAACCGCCTTTGGGGACTGGCAACCAGCTGTTTAAACCTTCTTATGCCGTATCGAAAGCGACCCTTTTTTGGGAAAAGAGGGCGCAGTAAATGTTTTTGAGTTATTCTCAATAATTTATATTGAAATCGGTTGTACAAATTTTTTTATTTTTAATTATTGTTCGTAAAGTTTTATTACAATCGGTTCGGCAATTCCGAAGATTAGCCCGGACAGACAGTAATCGAAAATTTTTATAATCTCATGTCTCAATAGCATGCAAATATTTTATACAAAAAAAAATGTGCAATAACTATAAAGAAAACTCATATTGTTATCATTGATTCTAATGATAAGTTGGACTGAAGTTATAGAACGTACGAAAAACGTATATCGCAACGTGGTTTTTTTGCAGTCCTTACCGGTCGGTGTGAGTATAGATAGCGACAGTGTGCGAGCGAGGGGTGAATAGAGGCGACGCCATTTTCAATCCCATTCTTTAACCGCACAGGTAGTATGTATGTATGTAAATTTATTTATTACCTCGTATCTTCTAAACGGCTGAATGTATTACGGCAGTTTTGGTATCGTTATATTCGTCTTAAAAACTCAAATATTCTTAGATAGCTGTTTGAAAAAAGAATGGTGGATTTTCGCCGCGAAATATTAATACGTTAATAAAAAAAAAATAACCAAACCTATCGAGTAGGGTATCAAAATAAAGGAAATTAAAAGGGAATGACAAAATTATATATAAGTTATATGTTTAAATTTATATTTTTAAATTTAATTAGGAATATTAAATTGGTTTAAAAAGTTTTATCACCATGTTTGTGTCGGACCTCATGCTATCATATGAAATTTAGTTCATAAGTGTGTAGGGACATTAAAAAGACTAAAATAAAATAAATAATTAAAAACAATTAAAAATCCGACTGCAAAAAAAACTATTTAAAAGTAAAGACCGAAACAAGATTGAGAATAAAAAACACAATTAAAACATGCGTGAGTGTCGTGGAACATTCGGTTGGAATAAAGTTCCTTTCGTAGTATATTATGATTGATAAACATATTATATTGTTGATTAACAAATACAAATAAATCAATTACTAGCTTCTATTAAAATGAAGCGTCATTTAAAATTATATTTCTTTCATGGGAAGATAAGAAAAAGTGCGAGGGAGATGGATATTATTCCATCTCGCTCGCACTATAAAAAGGGTCGTGACGGTAAAATCTTACACTTTTTTCGCTTAGCCAAATTCGTACCGTGTGTTATGGAACTTTTTCCAAAAAGGCGGGTCCCAATTGCAAATTATAAACCGAAAGAAAATTAACGGGTCCCGCTTGCTACTAAACTTAATGCGGGTAAGTATTTAACTTAAGCTTTCAGGCCATATTTATAGTCTGTTAAACCGAAGTAGAGTTTACTGTTTATGTATAGTTTATTTTAGTTGTGTTTTCTATTCTCATTCATGATTCAGTTTTTTAAGTACATTACTTTTAAATTGTCTTTTTTGCAGTCGGGTTTTTTTTATATTATTTGTTTTATTGTAGAACAAGGGTGACAAGCGAGCACACTGCCTACTTGATAGACAGTGGCCCATAGACATGTACATCTATCCTCGATTAAGAATCAAAACGCAGATACGTTTTCTTCCTGAGGACTAAGATGAAATACCCCGTATCCAGTAAAAATCCTATTTCCTACACTCACCATATAAGCAACACAGCAGCATTGAGATGCTTTTTTACGCTGGTATTGTGTGAGAGTGTGGTCCTTCCCCGGTCGAACCGACCCATTCGTACTACAACTATAATATAGCTACAGTATGGCCCTACTACGTATAAAATCTGTCTAATCACATAAATACACACACATACATACACGTGCACACACACGCTTTTTTATTTTGTGTACCGAAAAATTAAACAACTTTTGCTTGATTTTTGCCCTCAACCGTAAATAACTAATTGAATACCAGCGTAAAATAGCAGCTTAACGCTGCTGTGTTTCGAGTGGTGAGTGTAGAGAACCGGAGACCCTTTTTACTGGAAAAGAGGCATTCCATCTTAGTCCTCACGGGTGATAACGCATCTGCATTTTGGTTCTTTATTGAGGATAGATGTGGATGCCTATGGGTCACAGCAACCACTTACCATCAGGTGGACTGTGTGCTCGTTTGTTACCCTATCCTATAAAAAAAAACTAATCGATTACGATCACGTAAGATTTAATCTTCTATTGCATATAAAATATATTATTTAGATAATAGTTTAGTTCTAATATTTTTTTAGTTTAGTACTAATATCCAAATTTTGGAGAGTAATAAAAATTAACATAACGAGTATATCACGTTTATTGTTCATATTTACAATGAAAATTCGAAATGTTGTCATTCAAAGATCTGTTATAATATAATATAGTTAAGGTTAGGTTAGGCTTAATTCATATTTGTTAAATTTAGTGTTAACGCGCAAATGAATAAATATATGGTGGTTGGCGTTGTGTGGCAGGCGCAGGACGTGGGGCTACAGAGCTGCATCACGGCGAGCGACTACGAGGCGAACGGGCGCGGCTACGTGCTGCGCAACCTGGCGCCCGGCAACTACAGCGTGCGCGTCACGCCGCTCACCGTGGGCGGCGCGGGCAACGTCTCCGCGCACGTCTACGTCTTCATACCGGTGCGTCAGCTCGCTGCACATGCGCACGATGTCATAGTGCGAAAGTACCCGCAGTCAGATGCACTTAGTCTTCCTAGACGCATTGTCAGACACGTGGACACGATCTTTATGAATTTCTAATCTTGTTCTCACAGACTACAAATAATGGCTCCAATTGAGATTCTAACCCAGGTTCCACAACTTAATTGTCAAGAGTACCCGACCTAGTCGCCATCGCTGTGTCGCAATCTTACACTAAATAGCATCCTGTATAAATTTTAGATCAATAGATGTTAAGGCTTCTTTTCAAACCGTGTGGGGAAAGTATGTCTTAGTAGTTGTGTATCCACCTCAGTGTGTATACAGTCTCAGTCTCAGGAGCGGCGCTCGGAGGCGGGCTACGCGTGAGCGTGCAGTGGTGGTGCGAGGTTGCATGATGTGGTGTGCGCAGGAGCGGCGCTCGGAGGCGGGCTACGCGTGAGCGTGCAGTGGTGGTGCGAGGTTGCATGATGTGGTGTGCGCAGGAGCGGCGCTCGGAGGCGGGCTACGCGTGAGCGTGCAGTGGTGGTGCGAGGTTGCATGATGTGGTGTGCGCAGGAGCGGCGCTCGGAGGCGGGCTACGCGTGAGCGTGCAGTGGTGGTGCGAGGTTGCATGATGTGGTGTGCGCAGGAGCGGCGCTCGGAGGCGGGCTACGCGTGAGCGTGCAGTGGTGGTGCGAGGTTGCATGATGTGGTGTGCGCAGGAGCGGCGCTCGGAGGCGGGCTACGCGTGAGCGTGCAGTGGTGGTGCGAGGTTGCATGATGTGGTGTGCGCAGGAGCGGCGCTCGGAGGCGGGCTACGCGTGAGCGTGCAGTGGTGGTGCGAGGTTGCATGATGTGGTGTGCGCAGGAGCGGCGCTCGGAGGCGGGCTACGCGTGAGCGTGCAGTGGTGGTGCGAGGTTGCATGATGTGGTGTGCGCAGGAGCGGCGCTCGGAGGCGGGCTACGCGTGAGCGTGCAGTGGTGGTGCGAGGTTTCATGATGTGGTGTGCGCAGGAGCGGCGCTCGGAGGCGGGCTACGCGTGAGCGTGCAGTGGTGGTGCGAGGTTTCATGATGTGGTGTGCGCAGGAGCGGCGCTCGGAGGCGGGCTACGCGTGAGCGTGCAGTGGTGGTGCGAGGTTTCATGATGTGGTGTGCGCAGGAGCGGCGCTCGGAGGCGGGCTACGCGTGAGCGTGCAGTGGTGGTGCGAGGTTTCATGATGTGGTGTGCGCAGGAGCGGCGCTCGGAGGCGGGCTACGCGTGAGCGTGCAGTGGTGGTGCGAGGTTTCATGATGTGGTGTGCGCAGGAGCGGCGCTCGGAGGCGGGCTACGCGTGAGCGTGCAGTGGTGGTGCGAGGTTTCATGATGTGGTGTGCGCAGGAGCGGCGCTCGGAGGCGGGCTACGCGTGAGCGTGCAGTGGTGGTGCGAGGTTTCATGATGTGGTGTGCGCAGGAGCGGCGCTCGGAGGCGGGCTACGCGTGAGCGTGCAGTGGTGGTGCGAGGTTTCATGATGTGGTGTGCGCAGGAGCGGCGCTCGGAGGCGGGCTACGCGTGAGCGTGCAGTGGTGGTGCGAGGTTTCATGATGTGGTGTGCGCAGGAGCGGCGCTCGGAGGCGGGCTACGCGTGAGCGTGCAGTGGTGGTGCGAGGTTGCATGATGTGGTGTGCGCAGGAGCGGCGCTCGGAGGCGGGCTACGCGTGAGCGTGCAGTGGTGGTGCGAGGTTGCATGATGTGGTGTGCGCAGGAGCGGCGCTCGGAGGCGGGCTACGCGTGAGCGTGCAGTGGTGGTGCGAGGTTGCATGATGTGGTGTGCGCAGGAGCGGCGCTCGGAGGCGGGCTACGCGTGAGCGTGCAGTGGTGGTGCGAGGTTGCATGATGTGGTGTGCGCAGGAGCGGCGCTCGGAGGCGGGCTACGCGTGAGCGTGCAGTGGTGGTGCGAGGTTGCATGATGTGGTGTGCGCAGGAGCGGCGCTCGGAGGCGGGCTACGCGTGAGCGTGCAGTGGTGGTGCGAGGTTGCATGATGTGGTGTGCGCAGGAGCGGCGCTCGGAGGCGGGCTACGCGTGAGCGTGCAGTGGTGGTGCGAGGTTGCATGATGTGGTGTGCGCAGGAGCGGCGCTCGGAGGCGGGCTACGCGTGAGCGTGCAGTGGTGGTGCGAGGTTGCATGATGTGGTGTGCGCAGGAGCGGCGCTCGGAGGCGGGCTACGCGTGAGCGTGCAGTGGTGGTGCGAGGTTGCATGATGTGGTGTGCGCAGGAGCGGCGCTCGGAGGCGGGCTACGCGTGGGCGTGGGGCGCGGCGGCGGGCGCGGCGCTGCTGCTGCTGCTGGCGGCCGGCGCCTGGTACGCGCGCCGCGCGCTGCCCTCGCCTGAGGGAAACAAGCTGTTCGCCACCGTTAACCCGGAGTACGTGTCCACCGTGTACGTGCCCGACGAGTGGGAACTGCCGCGCACCAGCATCGAGTTCATTCGCGAGCTTGGTCAGGGCTCCTTTGGCATGGTACGTACTTCCTGCGCCGGCAACTTATAGTATAGAGTAGTATTTTGTAACGTAGCGTAATTTTTCAATCAATAACAAAATCCTATTCTACTACTTTATTTTCAATACATTTTATACCGACGGAGTGTTTCAGATTGTTTTTTCAGACATTCTATGTCACATACCAAGCAAAATTATTTTAAATATACTTTTAATTATTATATCTTACGTGGTAGAGCCACGCGGCAGCTTTTGCTGTCGCACGGATGGGCCGGCTCGAACCGGGGTAGTATCACGACCTCACAGAAAACCAGCGTGAAGTAGAGGTTTACCTCTGCGTTTCGCTTGGTGAGTGCAGGTGGCCGGAGGCCCTTTTTACTGGAAATGAGGCATTCCATCTTAGTCCTCACGGGTGACAACGCATCTACATTTTGATTTGTAACAGAGGATAGATGTAGATGTCTATGGGCCGCAGCAGCCACTTACCATCAGGTGGACTGTGTGCTCGTTTGTCACCCTTATCTTATAAAAAAAAAAAAAAAAAAATTGTCGAAAAGTAATACTAACAATATTAAGTTTTTATTAATCTAGTCAATCACTTGTGTGTTCACAGAAAGTTATCTGCTTAAGAGTTAAAAATAAATCCATTCGAGTTTCAATTTAATGCTTTAAACTTACTTTGAATTGACTCATGATTAACTTGAAAAGTTTGCTCACTTTGTAAACACTAGTTGAGTAATTTTAATTTTAATTCAATTTAATAATTAGTAGTTTCTGCTAATTCTTTACATAATTTTAATTTTAGGTTTATGAAGGTATCGCTAAAAACATAGAAAAAGGAAAACCGGAAACACGGTGTGCTGTAAAAACGGTCAATGAACATGCCACTGACAGGTACTTAAACACATTTTTTTAAATTTAAAGCTGTATGATATTAACGTATAGCGATGGGCAACTCGGTTAACTTGGTTTTAAATCGATTCAAACCGATTTGCATCCAAATCGAATAACAGCATAAAAAATAAAACGTAATTAAATCGATTTGACTGATGCAATTTAGATCAAAAATCGAATGGCTTGTTTATTCATATTAAAAATAAATTTAATACAGTTTTTCTAGGAAATTGCAAGCGTTCAGAGCGCATGCAAACTACTATCTCACTCCCCCATTCGCGTGTGTACTAGTTCGACCAGACGACGCACATCAGTGGCGCGATGAAACGGGCTTAACTCAATCTTTGAATCGATTTGACTCGTTCAATCGTCAAACCGATTTGAACCAAGTTGGTAAACCGAGTTATCACATCGCTATTTACGTAGTATTAACAATGTATTATTATTTAGTGCAGTATTAAGTTGTCTCTTAAACATTGTAATAGAACCTAGCGAAATTTTATTAGTGAAGGGAGAGATAGTAGTAACCTTCCTTGATGTATGTATAAGCAGTCTACTGTTGGATATAGATCACTTCCCAAATATGCTTTATTTTTAGCTTCACTTTTCCAGCCATCCTTAGTACTTACTAAGGGGTGGTACTTAAAACCAGGCATAGTGTTGTGTTGCCAGGTTTGACTGCTGAATTTGCAATTTTTTATATTTATCAATAGAATTTGTGAGACATAAAATACATTGTAATACGCATTCAGGGAGCGCATCGAGTTCCTGAACGAGGCGTCAGTGATGAAGGCGTTCGACACGTTCCACGTGGTGCGGCTGCTGGGCGTGGTGTCGCGCGGCCAGCCTACGCTGGTGGTGATGGAGCTGATGGAGTTCGGCGACCTCAAGACCTACCTGCGCTCGCACCGCCCGGACGCTGACTCCTCGCTGCCCAAGAAGGACGACGCCGCGCCGCCCACGCTGCAGAACATCCTGCAGGTAAAATAGGATAAGCATGAAGGCTCACACCATTGCTCACTGTACATATATCTTACATATAAACGATTTACTTTGAATCTGAGATCACCTCGTTATGCGTCTTTCATAACTACTCAAAGAACAATGGCAGATACATAAAATTAGTTGAGAAGGAATGGTAGCGTCTATATATCAAAAATATCTTAAAATGTTAAGCGTCAGTCCCTTAAAAACTGTCAAAGAATTTTGTCCTGAGAAGGCGTTAAAAAAAAGATATTTAGACTTGAACCTTTTTAGGTTATGTCTTATGTCACTTGGAAAAAGTCATGCGTCCTGTGGGTATTTTATGTTAGCTTAATACATTCTGAACATAATGTACTTACCTACATAATTGAGAGTTTATAGATTATTGTATCTCTATTATATATTTGCATACTATAAATGTATATTTCTGGCATGGCTCCAGGGCCTTTGTGTCATACAGTGATATTATCAGAAGAGCTAGAATACCCAGACCCGTAAAGCCAGTAAAAAAACCAGTGACAGTTTTTTTTGGAGTTTATGGCCTGGTATCTAGACTTTTAGGCCAACCAGTGACATTTTGTTTTAGCTAGTGTTGCCATAACATTAAATGGAATTGTTACATAGTACTATGATTGAGATAATGTATCATTGTATTCCCAAAAATGTTTGTTTTTTTCTGTGGCTTTCATTAAAATACATTTTTATTTGAAAAATATTAAAACGCATTTTATATATAACTATTTCTAGACGCAATAATTTTTGTCAATTTTTTTCTGCCATTGTTCTTTTGAAATCAAACTTTGTTAGAAAGTAACTTGGCGTTTTAAGAAATACCCTTGTTACGAAAGGAGGGAGAAGCATATCGGACCGTTCAGTGACGTCTCACGTTGAAGTTTTACGTCGCGATGACGTATATCGAAATCTTCTAATCGAGTATTTGACATCTATACATATAATAAAAATATAAGTTGCGATTGTCAGTAAATTTTGTATTTTTGTGACGAAAACGATTGATATTGATATTGGGACTATAAATAAGCAATTATTGATAAATTACTACATCATATAATTAGAAGCTACATTTATTAGTGCCTAAAACTTGGTTGATTTTTGTTGAAAGGTTATTTAGATGTATGTTATTTAAATTCACACACAAATAAGATGTTTAATTGACTAATAGAAACTACTTCACTTACCTATGTCCTCGTATAATATATAATAAAGCCTATATATATAATAAAGCCTAGCTTAGGCACCAGTCTCCCACAGTATATTATTGAGGCTATACTATAAAATAAATTATTATTATATAGTATAGTCTGTTCGCTAAGATAGTGTCGGTACACCTGGAAGCGCAATTATTATTTTGCCTTTATTTAATTATTTTTTAAATAAATGCGTTTTATTCTTATTGGTTATTGTAATAAAATACGAATATAAATAATAAACACAAGTTAGGTAGCAAAGGACTTTCCACGGTGCTTCGTTTTCAAATGCCGAATTCTCCTGCGGGTGTACGCCGCATGCGGTGTCCTTTGATGTCGCGGATGCGCCTTTGACAAAATGCGGCGTGTGCCAAAGCGGCGCGACACCAAAAGCGACCGTATCTAAGCGAACATACTATAGTTTCTTTTGGTTAGCTTATAAAAAGTTTACTTTATTGCAGATGGCGATAGAGATAGCGGACGGTATGGCGTACTTGTCCGCCAAGAAGTACGTGCACCGCGACTTGGCGGCGCGCAATTGCATGGTGGCCGGCGACCTCACCGTCAAGGTGGGCGACTTCGGCATGACGCGAGACATCTATGAGACTGACTACTATAGGAAGGGCACCAAGGGCCTACTGCCCGTCCGGTGGATGAGCCCCGAAAGTTTGAAAGATGGGGTAAGTTTTTAAAATTTAATTTATTTGTTATCCAAACCCTAATTTTGTTTACTTTTCTGCACTATTTAATTAAAAATAATAGCTGAAGCATTCGCATAGAGTAGAGATTGTCGCCAAAGAATTTTAAAATGTTGCTTACAAATGATTACTACTTAATTTTGTGTCATTTCAAATGTTCCTTTCTTCATAGTCTGTGGAGTGTATATCAAGATAAAAAGGGTTTTTATACTTTGAATATAAGATATTTGTGTTTTAATTTACAGTTGACAGTTAAATACAGCTTGCTATAATTCATACAATTTTTAAATATACAAACTTAAAAATGTTACGAACTATAGTCGAATTTCGACCACTAGTCTATATAAATATGACATGACCTTCAGCGTTTCTTCTTGCGTTTACGGTTCATTGATCTCCTACGAGTATTGTTAATTTAAACTATTAATAATTAAATGTCGACTAAGGTATTGGTGCGATTAGTTTCAAGTACAGTAGAATCCGTTTATTATGACTCCGCTTATATTGACTTACCGCTTATTATGACGTAATTACACAGCGAAGTTTGGTTTTCATATAAAATTCTTTATAATAAAGTTGGATATAATGACTTCGCTTATGACATGTCGCTTATTGTGACCCATTTTTACTAAATTGTGTCCAGTTATAGTGACCGACATGATTCCTAACACCTTCGGCAGTGTTGAAGAGAGTCAATTAATACCCGACGACGTTCGGCGCATGCATGGCTTTTTTTTGTTTTTAGTTTCAGTGGGTAATTGATTGTTGAAGATCACGGCATTGTTTGTTAGTGATTTGTGAAAAAAATTAAATCTCAACGTCAGTGCACGTGCAGTTTAGAAAATGGAGAATCCATCTCATCTTTCGCAAGGGAATTAGGAGTTGGTCACTCGACAATCTCAATGATTTTTAAAAACAAGAATTTATTATTAAGAATTTAAGTTACTTTAATTAAAGATTTTTCTCTATTAAAATAAATACATACTAACAAAAACTGGAGATTGTTTATTTTTTACAAAATGCTTTATATCACGTCCGCTTAGTATGACGTGTTTGTTATTTCCCTTCGATGTCATTATAAACGGATTCCACTGTACTATACGAAAGTGGAATGAAATGGTTCGGAAAAATATACACTCTACCGGTGTGTTGATCTTTTCTTTTTCGAACTTGGCTAACACAGCCATGTATCTAGAGTAGATAGGTAGTAAGTTAATATACTTATGTTAATTTGTGTTTGAGCCATGGTGGCTCAGATGGTAAACGCTCGCTGTAAATTTCACAGTACACGGGCAACTCGGATTCGATCCCCGCCGGCATCAATGAAATTGTTAATTGTAATTTTAAGTTCTGATTTACCATGTGTTCGGCGGTGAAGGAAAACATCGTGAGGAAATCTGCATGTCTGAGAAATAAGAAAAAAAATATTTCGAAGACATGTGAAGTTCGCCAACACGCATTGGGGTAGCGCGGCGGACACTTTCTTGCCCAAATATCTCTCTCAGAAATGAGAGGAGACCTGTATCAAGCAGTGCTACGTAAATAGGCCTTAACTTTTATTTGTGGTCATAAGATTACTAACAAACTTAAATAGTTATTCTTAAACTTAATACATAAAACGCCTTTTTTTAGGTGTTTTCAAGTAATAGTGATGTGTGGAGCTACGGTGTCGTACTGTGGGAAATGGCAACACTAGCGATGCAGCCTTATCAGGTAAAATAGACGTTTATTGTGACAGCTACAACTGCTTAAATTTTTTTAATAGGATAAGAGTGACAAACGAGCACACAGTCCAACTGATGGTAAGTGGTTGCTGCGGCCCATAGACATCTACATCTATCTATTACAAATCAAAATGTAGATGCGTTGTCACCCATGAGGACTAAGATGGAATGCCTCATTTCCAGTAAAAAGGGCCTCCGGCCACCTGCACTCACCAAACAAAACGCAGAGGTAAACCTCTACTTCACGCTGGTTTTCTGTGAGGTCGTGGTACCACCCCGGTTCGCGCCGGTCCATCCGTGCGACAGCAAAAGCTGCCGCGTGGCTCTACCATTGTTATGATGTTCTTATTTTAAGGAGATGTAGATGTCACTGTTATATGAAAATACTGATCAAAAGCCTTATATACATTGCTACTTTTATATGTAGATATAAAATTAAATTAATCATTAGAGTTAGAGTATATAATTCATATGAGAATTTTTACCAAAAAACTTTTTCACTAAGGCATCATTTTGTTACTGTATATAAGATGTTAATATATAAAATACATTTTTCTATAATGATATATTTAAATAATAATCTAACCACGATTCCCACGAGAGTTACACAATCACATTCCGAATATTGTGGCAGTTTTAGTAACTCACCGCAAGCTTCAAAATAGCTTGCAGTGTGTCTTAACTTTAACATTTTAAGTATTGTAACTAAAAATCAGTTAAAATCTCTGAACCAATTACATGATAGGCTTAAAACTTTTACTGCGCCAGTGAAGGTTATCTCTCTTAATTCTGTATCGCTTGCTAAACGCCGTCACTGCGCGGCTTAGTTGGACCGTGTTGTTCTGAAATTATCAAACCCACAAAAACAAAGTAATTCAGATTTAAACGATAAATACATTTTCTTGTGGCAGAAGCCAAATTTTATTATGTTATGTATATCATTTTAAAGAATATGTAATGTAGATTTGGGATAACTTGTTATTTTTCAAATGTTTATTGTGGCTAGTTTGTGGGTTGGATGCACACCACGGTCCAGTTGTGGTATAATATTAGCTTTATATTGGGTTTCGATGACCAAGGTGTATAACATGCGTGTTGGGGCGCGCGCAGGGGCTGTCGAACGAGCAGGTGGTGCGGTACGTGGTGGAGGGCGGCGTGATGGAGCGGCCGGAGCACTGCCCCGACCGGCTGTACGAGCTCATGCGCGCCTGCTGGTCGCACCGCGCCGCCGCGCGCCCCTCCTTCCTGCAGCTGGTGGCCGACCTGGCGCCCAGCGCGCAGCCATACTTCCGACACCGCTCCTTCTTCCACTCGCCGCAGGGCCAGGAGATGTACGCGCTGCAGCGCTCCGCCGCGGGTGAGTCTCGTTCCCTTCCTGCAGCTGGTGGCCGACCTGGCGCCCAGCGCGCAGCCATACTTCCGACACCGCTCCTTCTTCCACTCGCCGCAGGGCCAGGAGATGTACGCGCTGCAGCGCTCCGCCGCGGGTGAGTCTCGTTCCCTTCCTGCAGCTGGTGGCCGACCTGGCGCCCAGCGCGCAGCCATACTTCCGACACCGCTCCTTCTTCCACTCGCCGCAGGGCCAGGAGATGTACGCGCTGCAGCGCTCCGCCGCGGGTGAGTCTCGTTCCCTTCCTGCAGCTGGTGGCCGACCTGGCGCCCAGCGCGCAGCCATACTTCCGACACCGCTCCTTCTTCCACTCGCCGCAGGGCCAGGAGATGTACGCGCTGCAGCGCTCCGCCGCGGGTGAGTCTCGTTCCCTTCCTGCAGCTGGTGGCCGACCTGGCGCCCAGCGCGCAGCCATACTTCCGACACCGCTCCTTCTTCCACTCGCCGCAGGGCCAGGAGATGTACGCGCTGCAGCGCTCCGCCGCGGGTGAGTCTCGTTCCCTTCCTGCAGCTGGTGGCCGACCTGGCGCCCAGCGCGCAGCCATACTTCCGACACCGCTCCTTCTTCCACTCGCCGCAGGGCCAGGAGATGTACGCGCTGCAGCGCTCCGCCGCGGGTGAGTCTCGTTCCCTTCCTGCAGCTGGTGGCCGACCTGGCGCCCAGCGCGCAGCCATACTTCCGACACCGCTCCTTCTTCCACTCGCCGCAGGGCCAGGAGATGTACGCGCTGCAGCGCTCCGCCGCGGGTGAGTCTCGTTCCCTTCCTGCAGCTGGTGGCCGACCTGGCGCCCAGCGCGCAGCCATACTTCCGACACCGCTCCTTCTTCCACTCGCCGCAGGGCCAGGAGATGTACGCGCTGCAGCGCTCCGCCGCGGGTGAGTCTCGTTCCCTTCCTGCAGCTGGTGGCCGACCTGGCGCCCAGCGCGCAGCCATACTTCCGACACCGCTCCTTCTTCCACTCGCCGCAGGGCCAGGAGATGTACGCGCTGCAGCGCTCCGCCGCGGGTGAGTCTCGTTCCCTTCCTGCAGCTGGTGGCCGACCTGGCGCCCAGCGCGCAGCCATACTTCCGACACCGCTCCTTCTTCCACTCGCCGCAGGGCCAGGAGATGTACGCGCTGCAGCGCTCCGCCGCGGGTGAGTCTCGTTCCCTTCCTGCAGCTGGTGGCCGACCTGGCGCCCAGCGCGCAGCCATACTTCCGACACCGCTCCTTCTTCCACTCGCCGCAGGGCCAGGAGATGTACGCGCTGCAGCGCTCCGCCGCGGGTGAGTCTCGTTCCCTTCCTGCAGCTGGTGGCCGACCTGGCGCCCAGCGCGCAGCCATACTTCCGACACCGCTCCTTCTTCCACTCGCCGCAGGGCCAGGAGATGTACGCGCTGCAGCGCTCCGCCGCGGGTGAGTCTCGTTCCCTTCCTGCAGCTGGTGGCCGACCTGGCGCCCAGCGCGCAGCCATACTTCCGACACCGCTCCTTCTTCCACTCGCCGCAGGGCCAGGAGATGTACGCGCTGCAGCGCTCCGCCGCGGGTGAGTCTCGTTCCCTTCCTGCAGCTGGTGGCCGACCTGGCGCCCAGCGCGCAGCCATACTTCCGACACCGCTCCTTCTTCCACTCGCCGCAGGGCCAGGAGATGTACGCGCTGCAGCGCTCCGCCGCGGGTGAGTCTCGTTCCCTTCCTGCAGCTGGTGGCCGACCTGGCGCCCAGCGCGCAGCCATACTTCCGACACCGCTCCTTCTTCCACTCGCCGCAGGGCCAGGAGATGTACGCGCTGCAGCGCTCCGCCGCGGGTGAGTCTCGTTCCCTTCCTGCAGCTGGTGGCCGACCTGGCGCCCAGCGCGCAGCCATACTTCCGACACCGCTCCTTCTTCCACTCGCCGCAGGGCCAGGAGATGTACGCGCTGCAGCGCTCCGCCGCGGGTGAGTCTCGTTCCCTTCCTGCAGCTGGTGGCCGACCTGGCGCCCAGCGCGCAGCCATACTTCCGACACCGCTCCTTCTTCCACTCGCCGCAGGGCCAGGAGATGTACGCGCTGCAGCGCTCCGCCGCGGGTGAGTCTCGTTCCCTTCCTGCAGCTGGTGGCCGACCTGGCGCCCAGCGCGCAGCCATACTTCCGACACCGCTCCTTCTTCCACTCGCCGCAGGGCCAGGAGATGTACGCGCTGCAGCGCTCCGCCGCGGGTGAGTCTCGTTCCCTTCCTGCAGCTGGTGGCCGACCTGGCGCCCAGCGCGCAGCCATACTTCCGACACCGCTCCTTCTTCCACTCGCCGCAGGGCCAGGAGATGTACGCGCTGCAGCGCTCCGCCGCGGGTGAGTCTCGTTCCCTTCCTGCAGCTGGTGGCCGACCTGGCGCCCAGCGCGCAGCCATACTTCCGACACCGCTCCTTCTTCCACTCGCCGCAGGGCCAGGAGATGTACGCGCTGCAGCGCTCCGCCGCGGGTGAGTCTCGTTCCCTTCCTGCAGCTGGTGGCCGACCTGGCGCCCAGCGCGCAGCCATACTTCCGACACCGCTCCTTCTTCCACTCGCCGCAGGGCCAGGAGATGTACGCGCTGCAGCGCTCCGCCGCGGGTGAGTCTCGTTCCCTTCCTGCAGCTGGTGGCCGACCTGGCGCCCAGCGCGCAGCCATACTTCCGACACCGCTCCTTCTTCCACTCGCCGCAGGGCCAGGAGATGTACGCGCTGCAGCGCTCCGCCGCGGGTGAGTCTCGTTCCCTTCCTGCAGCTGGTGGCCGACCTGGCGCCCAGCGCGCAGCCATACTTCCGACACCGCTCCTTCTTCCACTCGCCGCAGGGCCAGGAGATGTACGCGCTGCAGCGCTCCGCCGCGGGTGAGTCTCGTTCCCTTCCTGCAGCTGGTGGCCGACCTGACGCCCAGCGCGCAGCCATACTTCCGACACCGCTCCTTCTTCCACTCGCCGCAGGGCCAGGAGATGTACGCGCTGCAGCGCTCCGCCGCGGGTGAGTCTCGTTCCCTTCCTGCAGCTGGTGGCCGACCTGGCGCCCAGCGCGCAGCCATACTTCCGACACCGCTCCTTCTTCCACTCGCCGCAGGGCCAGGAGATGTACGCGCTGCAGCGCTCCGCCGCGGGTGAGTCTCGTTCCCTTCCTGCAGCTGGTGGCCGACCTGGCGCCCAGCGCGCAGCCATACTTCCGACACCGCTCCTTCTTCCACTCGCCGCAGGGCCAGGAGATGTACGCGCTGCAGCGCTCCGCCGCGGGTGAGTCTCGTTCCCTTCCTGCAGCTGGTGGCCGACCTGGCGCCCAGCGCGCAGCCATACTTCCGACACCGCTCCTTCTTCCACTCGCCGCAGGGCCAGGAGATGTACGCGCTGCAGCGCTCCGCCGCGGGTGAGTCTCGTTCCCTTCCTGCAGCTGGTGGCCGACCTGGCGCCCAGCGCGCAGCCATACTTCCGACACCGCTCCTTCTTCCACTCGCCGCAGGGCCAGGAGATGTACGCGCTGCAGCGCTCCGCCGCGGGTGAGTCTCGTTCCCTTCCTGCAGCTGGTGGCCGACCTGGCGCCCAGCGCGCAGCCATACTTCCGACACCGCTCCTTCTTCCACTCGCCGCAGGGCCAGGAGATGTACGCGCTGCAGCGCTCCGCCGCGGGTGAGTCTCGTTCCCTTCCTGCAGCTGGTGGCCGACCTGGCGCCCAGCGCGCAGCCATACTTCCGACACCGCTCCTTCTTCCACTCGCCGCAGGGCCAGGAGATGTACGCGCTGCAGCGCTCCGCCGCGGGTGAGTCTCGTTCCCTTCCTGCAGCTGGTGGCCGACCTGGCGCCCAGCGCGCAGCCATACTTCCGACACCGCTCCTTCTTCCACTCGCCGCAGGGCCAGGAGATGTACGCGCTGCAGCGCTCCGCCGCGGGTGAGTCTCGTTCCCTTCCTGCAGCTGGTGGCCGACCTGGCGCCCAGCGCGCAGCCATACTTCCGACACCGCTCCTTCTTCCACTCGCCGCAGGGCCAGGAGATGTACGCGCTGCAGCGCTCCGCCGCGGGTGAGTCTCGTTCCCTTCCTGCAGCTGGTGGCCGACCTGGCGCCCAGCGCGCAGCCATACTTCCGACACCGCTCCTTCTTCCACTCGCCGCAGGGCCAGGAGATGTACGCGCTGCAGCGCTCCGCCGCGGGTGAGTCTCGTTCCCTTCCTGCAGCTGGTGGCCGACCTGGCGCCCAGCGCGCAGCCATACTTCCGACACCGCTCCTTCTTCCACTCGCCGCAGGGCCAGGAGATGTACGCGCTGCAGCGCTCCGCCGCGGGTGAGTCTCGTTCCCTTCCTGCAGCTGGTGGCCGACCTGGCGCCCAGCGCGCAGCCATACTTCCGACACCGCTCCTTCTTCCACTCGCCGCAGGGCCAGGAGATGTACGCGCTGCAGCGCTCCGCCGCGGGTGAGTCTCGTTCCCTTCCTGCAGCTGGTGGCCGACCTGGCGCCCAGCGCGCAGCCATACTTCCGACACCGCTCCTTCTTCCACTCGCCGCAGGGCCAGGAGATGTACGCGCTGCAGCGCTCCGCCGCGGGTGAGTCTCGTTCCCTTCCTGCAGCTGGTGGCCGACCTGGCGCCCAGCGCGCAGCCATACTTCCGACACCGCTCCTTCTTCCACTCGCCGCAGGGCCAGGAGATGTACGCGCTGCAGCGCTCCGCCGCGGGTGAGTCTCGTTCCCTTCCTGCAGCTGGTGGCCGACCTGGCGCCCAGCGCGCAGCCATACTTCCGACACCGCTCCTTCTTCCACTCGCCGCAGGGCCAGGAGATGTACGCGCTGCAGCGCTCCGCCGCGGGTGAGTCTCGTTCCCTTCCTGCAGCTGGTGGCCGACCTGGCGCCCAGCGCGCAGCCATACTTCCGACACCGCTCCTTCTTCCACTCGCCGCAGGGCCAGGAGATGTACGCGCTGCAGCGCTCCGCCGCGGGTGAGTCTCGTTCCCTTCCTGCAGCTGGTGGCCGACCTGGCGCCCAGCGCGCAGCCATAC